GATTTCAGAAAGACGCTTAACTATATATTAGATTTTGAAAATATCTGGAACATTTCGCTAGGCGATAAAAGAGAATAGTCCTTGAACAAAATACTGGGAACTAAAAGAAAAGTTCAGAAGCTCCTGCTCATTACCCTTTATGAATGGGGCAGTTCAAAGAGATTAACATTTGTTATACTTGATCAAATCTTTTTCAGTTCCAGATCAGTAACCTGGTGCAAAACTTTTGGGATAAAAACTTGTAGCCTTAGTATGNNTGGCCCCGGCCCGGCCGGCCGGTAATTAATTAATATTTGAACGCGCGCCATTTTTATTTGCAACGATGCTCCGATATGACGAGGTATCACCCTCTCGTGTGAGACTAGATGGATGAAAAATATCAAATGTTTATGGGACATCGATAGCTGTCTGCAAGTAGTTCAGAATTCGAGTAAATTATCGATGAGAGGCTCCCCTTGTTCATTTATACGGTTTTTACATTGTTATGCTACTTGTTAAAGGTGGGGGGACAGGAGATTTTTCGTAGTTTTTTTGTAGCTAGAGTATGCATTCTACAGTCACGGTGTACAACGCTTAATGTCACTCTGCGTACAGCTGTCGTCCTCGCCTTTATGTATGCAATTTATGTATGCAATCGGGCGTGCGCTTTCTCTTTGCTCGCGTGGCTCAGTCGGTAGCGGCGCCGCACCCTCAATCGTCGCCCTCACAAGTTCAACTCCTCGAGAGGCATCTTTGAACGGAATTTCGAGAACATTATTTTTTTCATGTCCCCCCACCTTTAAGAAATAAATTCAAATAATTCTCCAATAATTTCTGCTTTTTCTTAAATTCGAACGGGCCGAACCGGCTGAACCGGCCGGGCCGGGCTGGCCGGGGCTTCCGGCCGGGCCGGGCCGGTTGCAACCCTGCAAAAATAGAAGGTCCTCCTCCCTCTGATAGAAAGGCCCTTGTGATAGAATGCCTATGTCTTTCTAATACAGGTACTACGGTATCTAGTAGAACTTCAAAACCTGGAAAGTCATTCTTACTATCAGTTCTATTCCATTCGAAAGAAAATTAGAAAAAATATATAAATAGTAATTGGGTTGCTATGGCTGCCACCGCCAGACGACGTGTCTGTTGAGAAAAGTGATGAATTGCGGAACTAGAATTTCTATTCTAACTTGTAGAAAAAGATTGCCAAGGATCAAAAAACTTGGAGCAGGATTTTTTTAGGAATAGGGATTATTTTAAGGGATTAGGAGGAGTGCATATTGTTAAGGAATAGGTAGAATCTATGATTTTTGAGTTTTTTTTCAATGGGAAGGATTTAAAGTTTTTGGAGTTAGGGTATTCTGACGTGATGGTGCTCTTCTACCGTGTCGTTTAATACAGTAAACCATGTGATAGAAGGGCCCCACACACCGTCCACTTTAAGCCTATATATCTCGGTCCCTGTAAAAGATATCAACAAGTGATTAACTGACAAAATGTTTTTTATATAATGATAAACATTTCGCCAGTTGATTACTTTTTGATATCTCTTACAGAAACCCAGATAGGAAGGCTCAAGGTTAACAGTATGGAGCGGCGAACAATACCACCACTTCCGCTTTTTGAATTCCACAACGTCAAACATCTCATTCCTTGATAATCTGATCCTTTCTTTTCGAACTTATCAATATAATACCCAGACTAAAATCTATTTCATCAAAAAAATTTCCACCAAAAATAGCTCATGCTAATCCTCTTCCTTTTGAGAACTCATTCGTGTAATTTTCAAAACTTCGAAAGCTTTTTGTGTATGTGTCATCAGAATACGTCATATGACGTTTAGAGCCCGATGATAGTTGTGTATTGCACTTCTTTTGTTTGTTTGTTGTCTTAGAATGGCGAAGAGAAGAGTAAAGTGCAAGTTTTCGATTAATGCTCCGAATTTAAATTAGGGAGGATTGGGGGATGTGTACCCTGACCCCCCACGCAAGGGATATTAGTCTTTGTTTGTTGATTTCTACTGGTTTGAAATCCTGAACAGAAAGGGAGAGAGAGAGAGAGAGAGAGAGAGAGAGAGGGAGAGAGAGAGAAAAATAAATCCAGAAATTCCCAAAAAAAATTGCAGGAGCCGGAGAATGTGGAAAGTCGACAGTTCTGAAACAAATGAGGCTTCTCACTTCGAAGACGTACACGGCAGACGAGCTGGAAGCGCAGGCCAAGGTATGAGAACCACGTGGATGCCTGAAAATCTGAAAAATATGAACATTTTCAGCTGGTCTTTACCAACATTGTCATTGAAATGGATCATATCGTCAAAGCAATGCCATCTGCACATTTCAATTTCACGGATCCCATGAGAGAGGTGAGATTTTTAGCATTTTGGTCTTCTGCACAATTTTTGCACTTTTGTTTTTAGTCATGTCTAGGGAAAAGTATTTTTGCTCTTGATTATGTGATCTGTCACAGTTGGATTTCTGTGTTTAAATTTGAATTTTTGAAGGATGACTACTATTTGATTGCATACTTGAAGAATGTGCCTTAAACGGGACCTGGCGGAACCTGTCATTGATTCTTTTAGGATAAATATTTCTGGACTAATTAAATAAGATATTATAGAACTCGACAAGTACTACAAAATGATACTATTTAGAATACTGTATCTTGTCTATGAATCAAGCCAAAACCGTTTGATCTACGGTGTCACAAACATATGGAATTGTAACTTTGTTCATAGACAAGATACAGCAATCCAAATAGTATCATTTGTAGTACTCGTCGAGTTCTATCATATCTAATGTAATCGATCCAAAATATCAATTCTAAAAGAAACTATAACAGAGCCGGAGAGAGCTCGTTTTCGGCCAAGTCTGCCCCTATTAGATTGAACCTCCAACCTTCAAATTTTCAGCACGACGTTCACATGCTGACCCTCTACATCAAGGACATGCAGCACAAGTCCTTCCATGCAGATGCTGCAGAACACGTGGCAAAACTTTGGAAGGATCCAGTCATCAAGAGACTCTACGCTGAACGACGCGAGCGCAATATCAGAGATATTGGAGACAACACTGAATAGTAAGATATTGATTTTTAAAACTTCTCCTCAAAAATTTTCTTCTTTCAGCTTCTTCGAGAATCTCGACAGAATTGCCAAGCCAGACTACAGTCCAAACTCTATGGACACACTTCTCTTGCGAACGAAAACCACCGGAATTGTGGAGGTTCAATTCGAGATCAAGAAGGTCAAGTTCAGAGTGTTCGATGTGGGAGGTCAGCGATCGGAGCGAAAAAAGTGGATTCACTGCTTCGAAGACGTCAACGCCATCATTTTCATCGCGGCACTCTCCGAGTATAATGAAGTGCTTTTTGAAGATGAGACTACGGTAATTGAAAATGTTGAGATATTTCTGAAAAAATTATTTTTCAGAACCGAATGATCGAGTCGATGCGCCTTTTCGAATCAATCTGCAACTCGAGATGGTTCCATAACACCAACATTATTCTTTTCTTGAATAAGAAGGATTTGTTTGAAGATAAAATTAAGAAGGAAAATATTACAAAGGCATTCCCAGAGTACCGAGGTAAGTTGGATGGGGTACCGTGCACTTTGAGCTCAATTATCTCGGTTCCTAAAAGAGATATCAAAAATCTGTCAACTGATAAAATGTTGGTGATATTATGATAAATAATCTGTTGAAATTATTTGATATCTTTTAAGAGAGCCGAGATAATTAAACTCAAAGTTGAAAAGTTTACCATAGGCACCACACGTCCTGACCGTTAACTTTGAGACAATTTTCATCGGTTCTTTTAAAAGCTAATGAAAATTTTTAATTGATAAATTATTTATCATAATATCTTCAATCTTTTATCATTTGACAGCTTTTTGATAATTTGCATAGGAACTAAGATAATTGAACTCAAAGTTGAGGAGTTTACCATTGACACCACACACCCAGACCGTCATTTTTGAGATCAATTATCTCGGCTATTTTAAAAGATATCAAAAAATTGTCAACTGATAAAATATTTAACATAATGTCACCAATGTTTTATAAGTTGACAGATTTTTGATATCTTTTATGTAAACCGAGATAATTGAGCACACAGTGTGGTGTCTTTATTGTTAGAGAAATTAGGTTCATTGGGTTGGGAACTTTAAAATGGCATGGGATAAAATTTTGATCTCAAATGTCAAAAATATCAAAAAGGTTCAGATAGGGAGATCAAAATTTTTAAATTTCCAGGTGCCCAAAATTACGAAGAAACCGTGGCGTTCATCAAACAAAAGTTCGAAGCGCTCTCCAACAATCCGAAGAAGACGTTCTACGTTCACGAGACGTGTGCAACAGACACAAACCAAGTGCAGAAGATTTTGGACTCGGTCATCTCTATGATTATCCAGAGCAATTTGCACAAATCCGGACTCTACTAGATTCTAATTTTTTGTGTTCGTTGTATAACTCCTCTCCTCGTGTTACGTGTGTTCTCTCAAGTTTCCTATCCACTGGAATTCTGAATTTCAATTACTTTCGCTTATTCATTCATCTGTTGATATATTTTTACTGATATGATCGACAGAATCAGTCGATCTCATCCTGCCACGGTTCTTCATTATATATTTGGTCTGAAATTTTATTATTTAGGCATTTCGACCTAGATACCGTGAAACCTGTAATATAAGGACCACTAACTTTGAGCCAGTTCAGCTCGGTTCTTGTGAAAGATATCGAAATGTTGTCAACTGAGAAATTGTTTATCTTAATATCAGAAAAATTTTATCAGTTGACCAGTTTTTGATATCTTTTCTGGGTGCCCTTCTATTATAGGTTTCACGGTACCGTTATCAATATCCAGCCTCCTTTCCCTCGATCTCCCCCACAGTATTATTTTGACGTCCACAATTTCTTCTTTTCCTTTTCTATCTTTTCCATCCCATTCTTTCCCAAATTTCTGTGTTTCTCTCCATGTCAGATTTCCTGTATTACTTCCACATAAGTTCCATTATATAACTTTGAAAAAACAATGTATTTTGAAAATACTCCACCCACAAAAAAACCAAATAAAGTATCATTCAAGCTCGTGGAGCAATACTGGCACATCCCAAATGGGTGAGCTCGATGGAAGAGATTCCAAGAAGCGACATGAACTTTTGTTCGGACGGAGCATCGAACTTCCACTTGGATGCTCCAGAATCACAGTGTAGGTTGTACTTGGATGCCACGTCGAGGACGTCGTTTCCGTTGAGAATCTGAAAAAAGCTTCCATTTTTGGTCGGTCAAAAATTAGTGACCACCGATCAAGCCGACCGAGTTTAGCGTCTTAAAATAAATTTCTGTGTACGCAAACACTCTCAGGAACGTTGACAGTCGGCGCGCTGACCGATCGCTCAGCTAGGTCAGCTCGGTCGGCGGTCGATCGTCCTTAGATGTTTAAAAATGAAGTATCACTTACATATTGATCATTGAAGAACATGATGGCTTTCTGAGAAGACGGACAGGTCATTGAGACATGCTGACATCCGACGGTGTAGAAGAACTTAGGAGTTCCAAAGGTAAATTTGCTTTCTGGGAGGTTGAATGCATATTGCATGTTGAAAATCGACTGGGTCATGACTGGAGGTGGTCGCGAGCAGGGACAGTCTGAAAACTCCGATATCCGGGATGTCACGATACCGTAAAACCTGTGAGTCCCCACACTGCCAAGTTCGAGCTCAATTATCTCGGCTCCTATAAGAGATATTAAAATTGTGTCAACTGATAAAACATTGGTGATAATATGATAAACAATTAATCAGTTGACAATTTTTTGGTATCTTCAACACGAACTGAGATAAAGCGGCTTGAAATTAAAAAGTTAAAGGGTCCAATAATCAAGGTCAATGTGTATGTGCCTTACAAATAGATGTGTGATACTTGATCACTCACATTTAACTCTCTTCAAAATAAAAAAATTCAGAATGAGAAATTCGTCAATGTTAAAAAAATAAATTCAAATATTCAAATTCTAATTCCATAGAATTTTACGAAATGTGTCGACATTTTTGATGTTGTTCTCAGTCGGGCTAGTAAATATGGGTTGAGCGTTTGTTTTGTGAATCAGTCTTGCAGTTTTCATTCGATTAAGTTTTTTGGAGTGAGGGATAAGGCTTCCATCTCGGTCGGTCGAAAATCGGCGACCGCCGCCGACCGACCGGTCAAAAGCCATTCGAGCCGACCGATCGGTCAGCTCGGTCGGATATTGGTCATCTCAATATTTCCGTCCGAACGAAAGCCTTAACGTGGGCTTGAAAATGAAACTCACCGTCTGGAAGGAATGTAGTTTTTGGAGAACTTGTAGAAGTCGGAACTGTCAATGGTTGTTTAGTGGATCCTCCAGACCCACCGTACTCGATACACCCGACTTCTGTCAAATGCAAATCCAACTCTTCCGTTGGCAAATCCCCGCTGGCTTGGTATTGCTTGATTAGCTCGCTTTGCATATCAAACATTCGGGTCCTTGGATAACAAAAAACTGATGGAATTCTATTTGGAAGTTCCAAAATGTATTTCATATTGAAGACAGCAAATGCGGAAGTTTTACCATCTCCTGAGCACTGTAGCGGCTGCTCGGATAAGCAATCATAGTCGGATTTGTAGGTTGGAGCAGTGACTTCATAACTGGAACCAGCGAAGGTGGAATTTCCGAATCGCAGACGGAATGAGAAGGTGTCCATGAAGTCGAGACGAGTACAGAGGCATGATGGACTTGGATCAACTGCAGGTTCGCAAAGATCCATTTGAGCAGAAGCAGTAGAAATCAGGAATGAGGATAGGAAGATCATGACAAAGGTGGGTGAGTGAGGGAAAAATAATTTTGTCGAAAAGGCAAAATGAGATGTGGGTGGAGGTGCTGGCAATGATTAGCAGATTGATCATCATCCCTTATTGTTTTAGAATAAAGGCAACGGAAAAAATGAAATTCAGGGATGATGGATTGAAAAAATGAGTTGATAACAGCAAATTCAGAACTTTCTAGAAGTCCGACTTGTACCGAAATGGGCCCGTCTTACCGTAATTCCTCTATATACATAAAAGCCCATCAAAACAATTAAGTTTGAGCTCAATTATCTCGATACCTTTAAAAGGTGTCAACATTTTGTCAACTAAATAAAAATTTTGGTGATACTAAGATAAACAATTTAACAGTTAACAATCTTTGTGTATCTTTTACAGGAGCCGAGATAATTGAGTTCAAAGTTGACCGTTTCGGCGGACTTCAAAGAGGAAGGCAAATGTAAGCCAAAGTTGGTTTCCAGAAAAAAAAATCGAGAAAATCGATGAAAATGATGAAATTCATCAAAAAATCGAAAAATATGGACCGAAAAATAATTTCGAAAAATAGGTGCTCCTTTAAGATTCTCGTTACCGGACCCAAGCTCCGCCCACTCTCGAATTTCCCGCTTATTGAAATTAGACCAGAGTAAGAGCTTGTTTCCAATTCTCAAGGTCCACAGTTTTTTCCAGCTCTTGGTTGGTCCGGTCTGACTATGAGACCAATCAAAAATTTTTATTTAAAAACATACCAAAAATCTTCAAACCATCCTCTCTCTCTCCATTTATGATTGGTGAGTAATTTGGGTCAAAAATGCTATAACACCAAGATTATAAAATTTCGACGGTTTCTCGAAGGACACAATAACCAAAAATTTTTGCTGTTTGAAAACTAAATTTTTTTTTAAATTTTTACCAAAACACTTTTTTTGGCTCATTAGTTTACAACTAATGATCACTCGAGTTGCTCTTATAAACAAATTTATTGTGGATCGGAAAGTTCTGGGAAAAAAATGACCACTCGTGATCTGGAACCTGTGAGTCACATGTTGTAGCAAAGCAATTTTTTAGGTCTCTTTTAAAAAATTTTCGAATGCAACATTCCAATTTTTCGCCATTCCATTCTGTTCCGGTACATCACATCACACTGACCACAAGATTTTTTTAGAAACAAGTTTCTATTTTTTTTTCAAAACTTTCCTCTTCTTTTTCCGATTTCGGCAACAATTGAGACGAAAAGGGGATAATCTGTCCTGGTCTCTTTCCACCTCCATCATCAACAAAAGTTTCTCAGGAGAAATAGAGAGAAAATGAACACCCAGTTTGATGTCATTTGTCAGTGGCTTGTTCTTATGGGAGAGAGAGAGAGAGAGAGAGAGAGAGAGAGAGAGAGAGAGAGAGAGAGAGAGAGAGAGAGAGAGAGAGAGAGAGAGGTGGGGGGGGGGGGGGGGCATTCTCTGGCATTTTCATTCAAGAACGGGAATTGAGATCAAGAGAAAGTCCTTTTCTATTTCTAAATGTTTCCAATTTACGTTATCATTCGTTATCTTATGACTGTTTTCTTTTCGTATTGTTGTTTCCAATGGCAGCAGCGCGTTTCAGTTTCAGTAAATAATTTCGTCAAATTAACCAAATTCCTTTCAATTTCGAAAACTTTATAAGGAACAAATTAGATTTTAATTCCAATTATTTCAATTTCAAATTCACTTTTCAGGCCCATGAAGTACCTTTTGTTGACCATCCTACCTTTATTCGTTCTGAATTCTGAAGCCAAGCCTCCAGTTGCTATCGGCCTGGGCGATGACAATTTTTTGCAACTTTTGGAAGGGGAAATAGTTAGAACGTTGAGAAGCGAATTGAGCAGTGATGATGATCTGCAAAATCTGGAAGGAAGTGGAGTGGATTCAGTGGAAGACGATGGGTATTTGAATAAAGGTGAGAAAAATTTTGGGAATTCAAACCTTCCACGTTAACCTCCTATAGCTCATTTTCTGTGAGAGATATCAAAAAGTTGTCAACTTAGAATATGTTACTGATATTAAGGTTAACATTTTTTCAGTTGACCACTTTTTGATATCTGTCACAGGAAGCAAGATAATATGGCTCAAAACTAAAAGATAAGGCTACTGCGTGTTTAAACTTGAGTCCGCTAGAAATTGTTTGGCATTGGTTGAAATTCAGAAGATATTCAAGTTTTTTTTCTCGAAATTTGAGCTGCTGATTAGTACGGTGACAAACTCCGATTTGGTAATTGTTAATAATCATACAACTCCAAGGGGTTCATACTGTAAACCCTGCAATAGAAGGGCCCGCTCAAGTTTAACCTCAATCATCTCAATTTCTATGCATGATATCAAAAAAGTGCCAACTGATAAAATATTACTGATATTATGCTAGACAGTTTATCAGTAGACCACTTTTTGATATCTTTCACATAAAGCGAAATAATTGAGCTGAAAGTTGACGGTTTGGGTGGGCTTATATTATAAGAGATACGGTATTCCAAAATTTTCTAGAATCTTTCAAAAACATAGTTACAAGAAAAGTTGTTTCCAGCCGACTCCTTGACATTAGCATCCACCACACCTACCCTTGAACCGACAACAACGACCACTGAAACAACCACAACCACCACAACCACAACAACAGTTGCTCCCATAACAACAACTGCTCTAACAAGAAAACTGGCCCAAGGACCACCACAATGCATTGTCAACAAAGAATGCTATAAGGATTCTGAATGCCCATCGGTAATTATTAGCAATAGAGCGCATATTCCTCTTTCCCTCTTCCCACAGAGACCCCGCCAATTCCGGGGAAAGAAAAAACCTGGGAAAAAAACCGGGGAAAAGTGGGCGGAGTCGGGGGCGGAGCCTAAATTGCAACCCTGGCACGGTTTTGCCGCACGGTTTTTCTCGACTCCGGCCACTTTCCCTGGTTTTTTTCCCGATTTTTTCCCCGGAATTTGCTGGGTCTCTTCCCACAAACCACATAAGCAAACCGTCTAGCGGTCTTCCCCTTCTCCCGCGTACAGTTCTCTCTCTTCCTCTTCCTCCCCCCCTTAATGTCATAGTATAGACGGACATGTCAATCTCGTGCTGCGATGTCCGAGTGGTTAAGGAGTTGGACTTGAAATCCAATGGGCATTGCCCGCGTAGGTTCGAACCCTGCTCGCAGCGAATTCTTTTTAAAAATTTTTTTCAAAAAATTTTATTATTCCGAATGTTTCTGCTTTCAGGGAAAATGCCTGGGAAGTGAACTTGGAGTATGTGACTGCAACGCGTGCATCACAAACCGTAAATGCGACAGTGACGTGGATTGTGGAGGACTTCGAAACGCTTGTGACTCAACTGGATATTGTGATTGTGTCAAAGCCTTTCACTCTCATGGATACGAACTTTTCGTAAAAGTTCTCCTAACTTTTTGCCACCAAACAAAGTGTACACAAGACACTGATAACTGCTACGGGCTGCCTTGTCGTGTTGGAAGATGCAAGTGCGCTCCAGGAGCAAAGTCGAGTCTTCCAGTTCATTATTTCAAACCAGGAGGGAAGTAAAATGGTATAGAATCGTCTGTAGATCTTTAGATAACTGTTTTTTAACTGTTTTGAATTCGGGTAAACGAATACCATAAAACCTGTTATAGAAATGCCCCTTCTTTTCAAACTTTAAGCCAATTTATCTCGGTTTCTGTGGAAATTATTGAAACGTTGTCAATTGACAAATTCTTCATCATAAAATCAGAAACATTTTATCAGTTGACACATTTTTTATATCTTGCGTAGGAGACGAGATAATTGAGCTCAAGTGTGAAGGCTCTTCTATTACAGGTTTTTTTCTGTAATTTTAATAAAGATTTTTATTCAAATATGAGTTCAGACAGAGTTCTCTTAACAGTAGTTATTCTTTTTCCCAGTCGTACGGTGCGTCCATTCTCCCACCACAAGTTGAACAAGCCTGCAAATTTAAACAATTGAGGATCACTTCTGAAAGCCTAACCTCATCGAGAGTCTTGTAAATGTACTGATAATCCACGTGGTCCTGATACTGTAGCTGATCCAAGTACAGAATAATCTTCTCCAGTTCCGCTCCACACTTGATCCCCAAATATGTCTCCTTCTTGCTTCTGACTTCCTCCTTCATCTTGCTAACCGTTCCCTTATCACTGATTCCTTTCCAGGGGAGACCAGCAGGAAGGATCAAGTCCATCAACAAGTAGAACCAACTCTCACAATCATCCTTCCATCCCAACTCCTGGTTTTTATGGCACGCCAGTGATGCGAATTTTAGAGTTCCCTTGAAGCGGCAAGTGACACGTGGAGTTTTCAGCTCCTTCCGATCGTTGATGATTTTTCGGGAAATTCCGAAATCGAGAATGTAGATTGTATGCGCCTTCTTATCGGCACCACACGCATAGTTGGCTGGTTTCAAGTCGCGATGAATGAATCCGTATTTGTGAAGGTCTTGACAAGCTTCGAGACATTGTTGGGACACACTTAGACCAGTTGGAGCCGAGAAAGCTTTTGCTCTTTTCTTTTTCAAGTCAGCCAAACTGGATCCAGCCAGCTCCATAACCAAGAAGAAGTATCCCTCCTTATCTTTCTTTCCACGGTCCACAATCTCGGTGAAATGAGAATTCTTTCTCTCACTGGCAACCAGTTTCAGAATTGCTATCTGAATATTTTTTTTAAATTTTGTTTTGGATTTGCAGTAAACCTTGCAATAGAAGGGCCCCCTAACTTCAAACTTTGGTCCTATTTATCTCGGTTCCTATCAATGATATGAAAAAAGTTGTCAACTGAAAAATTGTTCATCATGTTCATCTTGATATCTTGCCTAGGAATCGAGATAATTGAGCTCAAACTTAACGCTGTGGGGGCCCTTCTATTACAGGTTCTACGGCCCATTTTTCAAATTTTACCTCCATCTTCAACTTGGACGGTTTCTTCTCCTGTTTCTTCTCCACCTTCATCGCATAAAACTTTCCACTCTGCTTATCCTTGACCTTATAAACCGCCCCAAAGCCACCTTCACCGAGCAGCTTGTCAATCACCCACGTGGTTTTCTTGCTAGTGATTTCGGTATTCTGAAGTCTAGAGATTCAGATGAGGTTCCTTTTTTGGAAATAACGTACCGACTTGAATTCGACCTCTTCATCTTCGTAATCTTCAGACATCACAATCTCACAGAATGTAACTTTGAAATTTCAAAAGAAAAGATATTCGAGAGAATAACTTTTGGAACTTTTGATGTTTTGAAACTTTCGAGGGCTAAAAATTGCCAACCGGGCAATCAAAAAGCGCGTAAAACTCGAAATATACGTCTGGTCAGTTGACCTAAACCTTAGAATTCAACCTAACAGATTTTTCAACGGTCAAAGTTTTTTTTTGAAAACCTCTACCCCACTCACCTGATTGGGAAACTCCGCTTTGAAAAAAACGTTACAAAGTACTTCCTGACTTATATTTTTTCCGCACTTTAATCGTCTTTTCCACCCACATCAACTCTCTCTCCAGCACTACTTATCATCTGATAATGTTCCAGAAACCTAACAGTGTCACTAACATATAATGACAAAAATGATATGAAGTCTATAAAATGGGCTAGTTTGTTTCATTCATTATCAGCCATTATCATCATGTCCTCTCGTGTTTTGTTCGTCTTGTTAGCTAGTATCGCAGTTCTGGCAGAAGCTGGTGTCACGTGTGATTTGGCTACCCAACCGGCGACATGGGCAAGAGTTATTGCTAAAAATGTGTTCTTCAATGCATATGAGCCGGATAATTATTTTGCGACGCCTGGATTCTGTGTCAATGTGAGTTGCGGTCTTGAAAGTTCGGTGATAGAGAAAAGGTGGAGAAGTCCAGATGTCAGCAACAACCGTAAATGCTCAATTACATATAACGCTACATATACACACACTTTGAGCTCAACTATCTCGATTCATTTAAGACATATCAAAAATTTGAAAACTGGTGAAATGTCTGTTATAATGTCAGCAATATTTTACAGTTGACAGATTTTTGATATCTCTTACAGAATTTGAGATAATTGAGCCCAAGGTTTGACCCAACAATGTTTAAAATTTCGACTGTTTTACGAACAGATCTTATCCGTAAAGTTTCAGAATGACTTCATGATCCACTCTCTCAACTACTCATCGCATGTCAACCTTGCTGATCCAACTGCTCAAATGAAACACGATCGTGCCACTAACACCAACTTCAGTAAGTCGGGAAATTTTCCTTAAAACCTTTAATACAAGGGTCTCCACTATTAAAGGTTTTACAGTATTCGTAAAAAAGCGCTAGTAGCTTCTTAAAAAACTACTAAATAAATTTCAGCCGATTCGCTAGTCAACTGTGGTCAAAAGATCCCACAAGTCCAATGGTGTCAATCGCATTGTGCTAACAAACAACTCGAACAACTCATCGTCTCCACCGCCGTTATCAATGGAAGTCTTCCACTGGCCACCGCCAAACAGGTGACCTCACTTATTTTATTTTTTTTTGTAACTTTCAAATTTAGGTATTCCAAACTATGGGATCCCCGAACGATACCTCGATTGCTGCTGTTCAAGTCGACTTGTATGCTAGCGATCTTCACATTGACTACGATTACTTTGATGACGCAAACTTCTGTTCTGTATTCGTCAAGGTCAAAAATCCCACCCAGTTCCCTTATGCTCTTTTTATCACTGTTCAGAAGATTTTGGGATTGTAAACTTTATGAATTGTTTATGAACTTGATGAGTAATGGATTCTTCAATAATGATAATTGAATATATGTGATTAAAATTACAAAAAACAATTAATTTCTCTTTGGCACAATTGTGATTGGAATTGATTTCGGAAGTTGCTCCTGATTCTTCTCGTACTTCACCGTGAGCACCCCGTTGTTGCTCAACTCGGATTTGATTTGCTCCGGACGCACGCCAGTTGGCAGATTGTACTTTCTGATAAAGTGACGCTCGACCTGGAAGTGTAGTTTTTAATAAAAAAGCTTTCTATTAAGAGTTTTTATTAAGAGTGCAGACAAGGATATGTAGTGTTGTAGGACTTCCAAAAGGAGTATTGCGTAATAATGGGATCAGGCGGAATTTTTTAATGTATATTCTTGATCTTGGATGCTAATCTATGTGCATGAGACACTTTTTGGCCTTTTGATAAATAGATATGAGAGGAAGCCAATTTTGCCTTGTAGCCGTTGAATTCTTGATTACGGTATTGTCTAAAATGGGCATATCTTTTGCCATAGGCATCTTGGAAGCACAAAAATGGTGGAAATATAATTTTACGTTTGATTCAAAGCTACTGAAACCTTCAAAGCGATTTCTCTAGTCTTTGTACTGGTATGATTCTTCAAAGGTGAATGGCGTAACGTTTCTTGAGATTCTCATGAGATGCAGCAACTTTGACAAGTGATAACTCTGTTCAATGTTGATCGAATAGTTTGAAACTTGACCAGTTTACTGAAGAATTCTTTGAGCTTCTACTTTCCAATTTTGAGCTCAGTACCGCCTTTTACTATTAAGCGCCATCCTTTAAACCTCAGAGTCCCCAGCAGTTAGCAAAATTCTCACCTGTCCATACTTATCAGTCTTCTCGGCGTGCTTTCCCTCAATGATAAGTTGATTGTCAACAATGTTGACCTTCAACTCTTCGGGCTCGAATTGGGATACATCCACAGAGACGTTGTACTCCTTATCACTGTCAATCACATCAATGGCATCTCCGACGCGGTGTCCGGTGAGCATGGTCTGATCAGCCCAGTAGGGACGGATCATGTGGCGATCGAAATCGACGTCATCGAAGAATCTGCTGCGAAAACTAGTTTTGGGGTTATGAAATTGAAGAGGAATTTTTCGATGATTACAGTGTGCGGAATTTTGGAGTGTCGCTGCTGGCCTAACTTTTACAACTCGTATTTTCTAGGTCATCATGTTAATAAGACCTAGAAATGACCTGATGCCCACCTGATGTGTTTCTAGGTCATTTTGAAGTGGTGACCCAACTTTTGCAAGTTGGGTTTTTTAGGCTACCATGGTAAAATAACCTAGAATTGACCTGATATTTGCTTGGTGTGTCTTCTAGGTCATCAGCGGCATCTTAGGCCCTTTCTAGGCCATTCTACCATGGTGGCCTAAAAAACTCAACTTTCAAAAGTTAGGCCATCGCGTTAAAATGTATTTGTTTTGAAAAATTTTGTAAATTGTGTCGAAGAGATAGGGATAACCAGATTTAAAGATTTATAACTTCAAAACTCACCGGCTTGGTGTGAAGAATGGAGAGAATGGTGCTGGGAAACGACGGTCCATTTTTTGTGAGTTGCTAACTGAAAAATACAAGGTGACATTTCGAAATTGGAAACCCAAGAAGCGCACGAAAAAAGTAACAAAGAAGTTTCTCGAAGTAATGAACCATTCCGAAAATTCGCTTGCTTTTCTACTACTGTTCTATTATCCTCTGAGCAAACAACGAATCGCCCACGCCTGTTACTTTTTTCGGGACTCGCTTACTTTTTTTTCGAGAAAGACAATCGGGCGGATTTCGAAATCAAAACACGGCCGGGGGGAAATGATTTGCTTAGAAAATTAACAAAACAAGTGAACCATGGGTGTGGTCTCTGATGGCTCCACCACCACCTCTCCTTTTATCGTCATCATTTCTTTGGAATGTTTCGAATCGTCTCGAAACGGCGTTTTTTTTTAGAAAAAGAGGAACTGATAAGGAGAGTTATTGATGGCATTCCATGTTCTTGTTTCGTCATGAATATTTTTGTAAAAAATTCAGGTTATTATATACTGAAAGACGCTCTAAACCTGATACACTATTTCGGCGAGACACTGAATTAGCAATGTAAATCGGCTGGAGGGAGACGAACAGTGAATAATGACTACGGGGGTTTCGAAATTTATTTCCGAATGCAAAAAAAATTGCAAAAAAAGTTAACGGAGATTGTATCCAAAGTGGAAAGGAAACTAGTCATTTTTTTCTAAAAAAAAAAAATGGAAAAATGTCTGAAAAAATTTTTTGGAAGGATGCCGCGATGATGAAGATAAGGACCGCGAAATCGTGTTAAATGAGTCAAAAATGACGACATAGAGGGTAAAATTCAAAATATATGTCATTTTTGAATGATGCAAACTTTTTGAAAGTTCCAGATTATGAAATAAAGGGAATCTAGAAAGCTAGGCTCTAGAAATTTGAAAGTCTCAAAATTTCGAAACTTCGAATTTCGGAAAAATTGAACATTGCAGAAATTTAACAATCTGAAACATGGACATCCGGACAAACAGAAGTATGAAAAGTTTTCAGTAAACCCAACAAACTATTCTAAGAGGGGTTCCTGAAATTTTGCCACCCTGTATGTTGGCCGTTTATAGAATTTCCGTAAAGCCTGTAACTATTGTCATGTTTGAGCTCAATTACCTTGATTCCTGTGAAAGATATCAAAATTGTGTCAACTGATAAAATATTGGCGGTATTATGGTGAAAATTTGGCAGTTGACAAAGTTTTGCTATCTTTCACAAGAACTGAGATAAATTGGCTCAAAGTTAGGGGGCCCTTCTATTGCAGATTTTACGGTATTCATTTCTTTCAAAAAATCACTGCTTTTCTTTCACAAAATATTTTTTAAAACAACTTCCAAAAAAGAAATCCGTCGAGCCGGATTCGAACCAGCGACCTAAGGATACCCACTGACTCTACAGTCCTCCGCTCTACCAACTGAGCTATCGACGGCACGGCAACCGATCACTTCTAGTTTGTATACCTTTCTCCCTTTTTTCTCTTATCAAAACTTTTATAATCAACACAACGGTTCCAATTGGCAACCTTAATGTTTCGGGAGGCGGAAAAAATGGGGATTTTTGAAGGGTTTCATTAAGGATTAGGCGGCAAGCGTAGAAACTTAACTGCACCTCCCCTCCCACCTTCAAAGGATATAAAAAGAAATCCAAGAGTTTTGGAAAAATCTAGCATGATGAAGAAGCACTTTATGTTTCTAGTGTTGATTCTAGTTACTACGGTAGGTCCTTTTCGTTAAAAAAATAAAATAATTTTTTTAGCTATTGAAACCGGCAAACCTGCAAGTGGCCACTGGCACAACTGGAAATGTGATTCGAATGGGGTTCATCCATTGAGAGACTATCAAAGTGCACCGATTACTGTAGGATACCGGACGTCGGCGTCAGCTGCTAATATTGCTATTGACAGATTGAAAAGAGAAGGTTTGATGACTGGTTGGGAGTTCAAGTAAGCGATTTCGGGTTTCATGGGGATCACTGATAAATTGTTAGATTTATGGGGCACTGGCAGTTACACATTTACTGTCTAGGACCCACATTCGACTAAGGTTTTCTACCACTTTCTGTTTTTGTCCCTGTGAGCATAGTTATGATACTTTTAATTCTTGCAAGCCGGGCCTTTGCCGAACGTTCGCCATGCGTTCGCCGGGTCTTCGCGGGCCCTCCCATATTTTTTTTGGATCACTAGTTTTTGACCAACTAACCCAATACGATAGAACTCGACAAATACTACATAATGATAATATTTGGGATACTGTATCTTGTCTACAAACAAAGTTACAAGCCGAGAACTGCCTGAGCTACGCGATCACAACTTTATGGTCTTGTAACTTTGGTCATAAACATGATACAGTTTTTCAAATTATACCATTGTGTAGTACTCGTCGAGTTCTACCGTATCTAATTTAGTTGGTTTCAAAATATTGATTCTAAAAGAAACTATTGATGGACCCGCGAAGTCCCGGCAAAGGAACGGCTTAAAAGTATGATGTTGGCTTTCATTGGGATTACTGTAGATATTATTTTTGAAATATATACGCTGGAAGTTATAAGGTTACTATCTAGGACAATTAATTGTAGAAGCATATCACATTCTGTTCTCAATACCTCTGTTACCATGGCTATGATTATTATAAGTTTATCACTGTTTTGGTTTTCCTGGGTTACTGTCGATCTTTTTTATCTCCACATTTCCAGCTTCACGGTCGTATTTGATGATTGCATTGAATCCGAAGCAGCCGGTAAAACAGTTGAACTAATCGAACGGCACGATGTCGACGTTATCATTGGACCCACTATGAACCAACGTAGGCTCCTAAACACTTTATTCAACCTTAACCCATCATTTTTCAGCCACTCTTGGCGCTTTCATTGTATCTAACTATTACAATCGACCAATTATCTCCTGGGGTTTGGTAAACGCCGCTCAACTGGATGACGAGAACAGATTTCCGAATGCTGGAATTATGTCAGCTGGTCAAAGAAGTCTCGGAGTAGCGATTCGGGCAATTTTGGCAGAATTCGGATGGAATCAGTTTGTTTATGCCTATTTCACAGAAGAGGATGCCGAAAAATGTGTGACAATGAGAAATGATCTGCAAGTTTGTGATATTGTAGTAGAGTATAAACCAATATCAATTTCAGCAAGTAGTATCATATTTTGGAGATATCGTTCTTGCATACTCCATACAAGTCACTGACATATCTAACGATGGGATGATATCAGCTCTGAAAAAGATTCAATCGAGAGGACGGAGTTTGTACATTTCTCTCTAGCGCTTATAATGTTTCTTGTCCATTACAGTAATCGTGACCTGCATGAAAGATGGTATCGGTCTCCGTCGTAAATGGGTTCTGGCAGCTGAAGAAGCTGGAATGATTGGGGATGATTATGTCTACATTTTCTCGGATATCAAGTCGAAGGGATACTGTAGGTTTAACGGAATTTTCCGATGAAAGCATAATAGCTTTCAGACGTCCCTTTACTTGGTGGTGGTGAGCGGCCAGCGTGGATACCGTCCTCTGGATCCGATGAGAATGACACCAGAGCTCTGAAAGCATTCAAGAAGTCTATATTTGTTTGTGACGTAAGTCTAGAGTATGTAGCCTAATCCGTTTGTAATCTATTTGCCGCCTGATTGATGAAGAAGCCACCCAATAAGAAGGACCAAAAAATCACGTATTCTACTGTTTCAGATGATGGGTCAAGGGTCCATTGCAGCCAACTACACAGTGTTTGGAGAGGAGGTGATCGCAAGAATGAAAGAGGCACCTTATTTTTGTACAGAGGATTGTGAAGGGAAGAATTATACTGTGGTAGGTTTCCAGCTGGTAAAAATAAGCACCTAATACCAGATAGTCACCATAGCAAGACTCTATTCCCCATCGTAAATAAGATTCGATCTGTGGCATTTAAATTTAGATGGAAAATACAAAAAACAATCCTACCGATAGAAGACTTACTTTGATTAATGGGCTCCTTAATGATAAACAAATGCGCATTTTGTAGTCATCTTGTGGGGAGTAGGAGGCTAGAAAATGTTAAAGGGGAGTACGGTAGGTCATATGAAGGAAACATCTAGAAGAAAGAGGCGTTTGGGATTAGGAAGCTATTGGTTGGAACGAAATGATTCCGTTTACCATAAACGCTCTAATCTAAGGTCACCCTACACTTGAAATTTGAGTGCAACTGTCTCAATTTCTATGAGAGATATTATAAATATGTCAACTGATTAAACGTTTGTCATAATATAGCCAACATTTTATCAGTTGACACATTTTTGAAATATCTTCTGGAAATTAAGATAATTGAGTTCAAATTGCCAGTATAGGGTGGTCTTCTATTATAGTATTTACGGTATAGTGGTTTTAATCTTTAAGGACTTGAAGCTTATAAGGCCCCAAGCGCGAATAATGGCTCCAAAAGCGGATCATGGTTCATAAAACTGGGGGCGGAGTTCCCATTCGACCTGTTTCACCAAAAGACTGGGAATTTTTGTTACATTTAATACCAGTCTAATACCTTAAAACCTATATCAGAAGGGTCGGCCCTTCTATTGTTCTAAGCCCCTCCCAGAGGGTCCTTATATTGGAGGGGTCCCTTCTAATACAGGTTTTATGTTCCTTGGAACCCCTCGTTATTCCTAGGACCATTTTTTCTGATAGAGTCGGGTCGTAGATTGACTAGAAAACATCCCTAGAACTTCTTCAACTTCCAGGCGGCTACCTACTCTAGCCAACTCCACGATGCCGTCTATGCCTATGGAACTTCTCTGGACCGAATGTTCAAAGCAGGTCAAATGGCAAATTATCGTAATGCAAGCGCATTCATGAGATATTTCCCGCAATCGTTTGTTGGCATGTCTGGAAATGTGAATATCAATGATAAAGGCACTCGAAACCCGACCCTATTCCTTTTATCACTCGATGAAAGTGGAAATAATACACTGCGAGCAACGATTTATGTGGAGAATATGAGCGCGGTAAATACCAATGGAGCTTTACTCAGCTTTTGAACTTATTTCAGACCTACTCTCCTTTGTATACAGATGAAGGTGTTATGTGGAGTTCCAGAAAAGGGAATGTGCGGCCGAATGATGTACCGCTATGTGGATTCACTGGGACTGGGGTATGAATAACGGAAATGTTGTATGGAAGATTATAGACATTTTCAGTGCCCCAAAAGTTTTGTAGAGGAATATCTGGTCTGGGTTATTGTGGCAGTCGTGGTATTGTCTTTGGCTATTATTGCGGCAGGATTGGGGATCTATTTCTCCATTAAAGCTAGAAGAGAAGAAATCAACCGACAGAATCAACTATGGCAGATCCCATTTATTCATCTACATCAGATAAATGTAGGTTGTTCGGAACAGAGCGCACTTACCACAAAAGCTTTCAGTCGAAACAAAAGTCAAAAGAGCACAGTGTACGGAGTCTTCAAAGTGGAACCAGCACGATGTCTTCCAGAACTACCGTGTCCTTTAAAACTGAAACCAGGAACTTTTTGTTCTTTAGTCTACAGAGAGAAGCAGATTATGAACCGGTGGTAGCCAAGAAGCATGCGTATCGCCCGAGATTGGATGATGAACGATGTGCATTCATGAGAACGGTGAGTGCCTAGATCCCATAGAACGACATCAGTGAATGCATTTTCCATGGTTCCAGCTGAGAACTCTGGATCATGACAATCTCAATAGATTCATTGGATTGTGTTTGGATGGGCCACAGATGCTGTCTGTCTGGAGATTCTGCTCTAGGGGGTCTATGGCTGACGTCATTTTGAAGGCCACTATTCAGATGGATAACTTTTTCATTTACTCATTGATCAAAGATATTGTCCAAGGACTAGTTTTTCTCCATGGTTCAATTGTTGGGTGCCATGGAATGTTGACTTCCAAGTGCTGTCTGATTGATGATAGATGGCAAGTGAAAATCTCGAATTATGGTTTGAAAGATATACGATCACCAGAGATGTACGAAAAGAAAGGTAGATCCCAGAAACTAGAAACTGCTCCTCAACCACCAATTCCCACTTTTCAGATCTCCTCTGGAGCGCTCCCGAGCTGCTCCGAGCTGAGGACATCAAAGGAACCAAAGAGGGTGACGTCTACAGCTTGGGCATAATCTGCGCTGAACTTATCACCCGAAAAAGTGTCTTCAACATGGAGGATCGTAAAGAAGACCCTGAGGAAATAATATATCTTCTCAAGAAGGGAGGAATGAAGTCACCGCGGCCGGATTTGGATTACGATCATACCATTGAAATCAATCCGGCGCTGGTTGGGATGAGTCACAGGGTTACCGTAACCTAGTTTAGTTATTTTCAGCTTCATTTGATTCGAGATTGCTTCACCGAGCGACCTTCGGAACGTCCGTCCATCGACACTGTGAGATCGCAGTTGAGAGGAATGAATTCGAGCAGGAATGATAATCTAATGGATCATGTTTTCAATATGTTGGAGTCTTATGCCTCGTCATTGGAAGAGGAAGTCTCAGAGAGAACCAAAGAGTTGGTGGAGGAGAAAAAGAAGAGTGATGTCTTACTGTACAGAATGCTTCCAAAGTGAGTTCAAATCTAAAATTCCTATCATCCAATAATTTCAGAACCGTTGCTGACAAGCTGAAGCTCGGACAAACCGTAGAACCCGAAACCTTCGAACAAGTCACTATATTCTTCTCCGACGTTGTCCAATTTACCACTCTGGCTAGCAAGTGTACACCTCTTCAAGTTGTTAATTTGCTCAACGATCTCTACACAATCTTTGATGGAATTATAGAAAAGCATGACGTTTACAAGGTACATTACATATTATCGAGCAAAACTTCACAATATGACTCGGGTTTAAAATTTGAAGAGACGCAGACAGTCAGAGCATCACGTTGTCTGCGTCTCTGCAAGCTTCAAAGCGCTGTATCTAGGCTCCTAGGAGAGCTAGAAAACTGGTTTTTGGATAAAAATGTATTAATTTCCAGGTCGAAACCATCGGAGATGGCTACCTTTGTGTCTCCGGTCTTCCACATCGAAATGGAAATGAACACGTTCGACAAATTGCTCTGATGTCGTTGGCATTCCTCAGTAGCTTGGAATTCTTCAGAATCCCACATCTTCCAAGCGAGCGTATCAATTTGAGAATCGGAATGAACTGCGGATCAGTTGTCGCTGGAGTTGTAGGACTCACAATGCCACGTTTCTGTCTTTTTGGAGATGCTGTGAACACTGCGAGTCGCATGGAGAGTAATGGAAAACGTAAGAGGTTGCGAAAATATCCGAAAATCAATTTTTGAAATTTCAGCTGGAAAAATTCACTTGTCCGCTGAAGCCAATAGACTTCTGACGGAAACAGTTGGTGGATTCGCGACAGAATCTCGAGGAGAAGTCATTATTAAAGGAAAGGGGGTCATGGAAACCTTTTGGCTCTTGGGACCAAACCATGCTATCCGTCCAATGTCTTCCAGAAAACCTGTGGTGAAACCTAAAAAGGTAATATTTTCAGACTCGGAGAATAATTGGTCTGTTTAAGATGTATGAGGAGTTTCAGATCGAAGAACTTCATCGGCAAGAAACACTCAAATCGGATGAATTGCTCAGTGATTAGGAGTGAGGTGTTGTCGTTGCCACAACTCTGCTCGACGTTGAACTATTATATGTACCACATAACTGTAAAAATATCTTATTTATTTTTCTCTTATCATATTTTGTGATAAAACATACCGAATATAAAGCATCCAATGATCGTACCCGAACATTTTCCAGCAGAGCCAGAAAATTGGAATATGGACAAATTTGTAAGCATCCAGGGATTGATAAAGGGTACGATGTACTAGTTGTATTTTTGTAGAAAAGTTGTACAGTATCATCATCGTAAAGCTCAAAGAGTACTGTAGCTGTATAGGGAACCAGCTGGTCGTTAGAGACGTTGAGAGCGTAGAGAAGGGCCGAGAGGGTTCCATCGTGCTGCAAACTTTTCAAAATTTAGCGTTTCTAATATTTTCAAATAAATTTACCGAAGAATACATCATCGCATTTTTCTCGGTCTTGTTGGCCTTGAAATCTTCCATATTTTTTAAAAACTCATTCACCAAGTAACCTCCTCTGAACTTTGCTTTTGTTGGCGAATTGAATTCTTGATTTCTAGTGATTCGTTTCAATTCACGGATGTGATCCATGATAGTGGTGCCGTTGAACACCTGATTCAACCAGCTAGGCTGTGGCATGTTATGGTCCAGCTGAAATTTATTTTTTTAGAAGGGAACTAGTTACTGTAAAACCTGTAATAGAAGGGCCTTTTGACAAGCCGAATTTTCTCAGCTCCTGTTGAAGATATAGAGAAGTTGTCAACTGATAAAATCACTTTTAATATTGTGATAAACAATTTTTCTGTTGACAACTTTTTGATATCTCTCACAGGAACAGAGATAATTGAGCTCAAACCAGACGGAATGTGGCTCTTCTATTGCAGGTTTCCCGGTAATACCAACAAAATACCTCTCTTTGAATATCATACAAATCATTGATATTCCAAAAGTCAATAGATTCCATTCCCGTTGTATTCTGAAGCCACTTGAACATTTGACCATACTCATTGTTGATTTGAGCAGCTATCGGAGATTCTTCTTGCTCGTTGGCCAAGTCGTAAGCTGGACAATCAACTTTTGTGGGACGGAGAAGCTGAAAAAGAGAAATAGATGCCGTAAAACCTGTAAGAAAAACGTCCCTTGCTTTGATCCAATTTATCTCGGTTCCTATTAACGATTTCAAAAAAATGTCATAAATTGTTTATCATAATTTCCCAAACATTTTATCAGTTGACATATTTTTGATATCTCTCACAGAAATCAAGAAAAACTAGCTCAAACTTGACAAAGGTATCTGAATCTCACAGCATCTATAGTCCCATACGCAGTTTGTATGGGTGTAGGCTGCCAATATCGGAGATACGAAGACTCCCAAACACGATCATCCACTGGTGGAAATAGACCAGCAGACACCCCTTGAGCAGTTTCTATGGCTCTTTCCGAATCGGAAGATAGAATGAACACTTTGTTTTTGTTGAAGACGGGTAGTACTGTAGCTCCATATCGTTGTCGTAACCAGATGCCAAGTTCAACAGCTTGCCAAATTCCTTTCTGAAAATTAAAAAAATCAACTCGTGACCCAAACAATCCCACTCACATTGGTCAACTGATCCCATCCACGTGGCCAGTAGGTCTCATTGTACCTATCCTTGGGATACGGTAGATCTCCTGGAGCTCGATCTCCGTGCCTCCAAATCGCTTGCATCATGATTAAATTGGCACTATAGACATAGGTGAACACAGAAGAAAGAAGAAGAATGCGAATCATGGCAAGGTTCACTGAAATGTATAAAAAAGGATCAAATAGGAAAGTGTGAAAAAAAAGAGAAAGGGAGGCAGATAGATTTAAAAGTTTATGTTCGAAAGTTTTGATGTACTCGTGAGAGAGAGAGAGAGAGAGAGAGAGAGAGAGAGATAAAGGAAATCTAGAACACCGTAAAACCTGTAACAGAAGGACCTTCATGATGTCAAGTTTGCCCTCAAGTATCTCGGATCCTGTACAAGATATCAAAAATACGTCAACTGATAAAATTTTCATGAAAGTTTGATAAAATATTTATCAGTTGACAACTTATTTGATATCTTTCACAGGAAAGAAGATAAATCAATTCAATGAAATCGTAGGTTTTTCTGTAAATTTTATTTTGATCTACAAGAAAAAATGCAGATCAAAGTTTAGCGCGAAAAGAAGCTACGACACAGAGATTCTCATTTTTTTTCCAGACAATTTTTTTGGATTTTTTTTTATTTTCGAGTTTTTAAAAATGGCATCTAGGTCCCGCCCCCAAAATACTGTATTCAATGTTATTAATTTCTGTAAATTTTTGGTCGAATTTTCTGAACCAAATTTTTATTTTTCCATGAAAATATGATCGCTAGCATCTCTCGAACCTTTTCCATGTTGACAATACAAAAATATCTTCTCAAACAAAAATATCTTCTCAATTTCTCTCTAATAGAGTAATCAGATGTTGGAACTCTTTACCCGCCAAAGTGTTTCCGGTGAAGCCCTCGTCAGCGGCTTTCAAAAATCGACTATTATCCTGTGAACTAAAACATTTTCTTGTCTTGAATTCAACTAATTACTAACTCGGTTTTCCTCCATCTCCCATTTAATACAAATGTATGTCCCTGTTATATCTCCTAGTTTCATAGACATTTCACGTGTTAGTATTTTTCTCCCCTTCGTTGAAATAAATAAATAAATAAATAAACAATTGCTGATGTACAGTATCCTTTTTAAATTCATAATATTTACAGCACATCAGAATGTCCACCGATCCGTCTGGTCCAACGTCTCCCGAACCAAAGAGAACTAAAATCGAGGAAACTGAGCAAGAAGAGAAGAATGTGGAAATGGAGACAGCAACAACTACAGAAGTCGCCGAAGAGCCACCAGTCCCATTAAGGAAAGAAGACGTGGAACCAAAGCCGAGCACTGGATCAGAGACGGATCCAAGCTCGGCACGCACCTCGATTCTCCCTTCCAGAACATCAGATACAGTCGGCGAAGAAGTTTCGATCAGTATTAATATCAGTGAAGCCAAAGATGAACCGACCAAAGATGAACCGGATGGTGTTTCTCGAAGTGCCACGACAATCACTGAACACAGTTTGGAGAATTCGGATGAGGAGCGAACAATGGTTGAGTAAGTGCCGCCAGTTCAAGGATCTCAAGTTCAATGGGAAAAAGAGGAGGCTCCAATTCCGGTTATCACCAATCAACCGTTGCCAACGCCAGCTCGTAATCCAGATCGCAGAGAGAGTGCAGCGGGAGACGGATGTTCGAATTGTTGTATTCGAACATCTCAATAACTTATTTCAATTATCATTTCTTGTAATTATTTTGTGTCTCTTAATTTGTTTATCAAGTATTCTAGAAGTATTTTTGAATGAATAATAAGGACGTTTTGGAATTGCGTTTTGAAGATTTCAGGTTCCCCTAAGAGGTAGTACAGGTACCAATAAATAGAAGGGCCCTCTCCACTGTCAGATTCGAGCTCAATTATCTCGGCTCCTCTAAAAGATATCAAAATTTAGTCAATTGATAAAATATTGTTCGTAAAATTATCAACATTTTATCAGTTGGCACATTTTTGATAGCTTGTATAGGAACCGAGATAATGGAGCTCAAAGGGCACGTGTAGGGTGGGTTCCTATTAGAAAGGAGGGGAACGTTTGAGCTTAATTATCTCGGTTTCTATAAGAGATATCAGAAATTGGTCAACTGATAAATTATTTATCACAGTATCATCAACACTTTATTGGTTGACAAATTTCAGATATCTCTCCTCATAGAAACCGATAAAATTATCTCAAAGAGCACGTATAGAGTGGTTTGAGCTTAATTAAGGTTTGAGCTTAATTACCTAGGTTCCTATGAGAAATATTGAAATTTGAGCAGTTGATAAAATATTGTTTGTAAAATTATCAACATTTTATCACTTGACACATTTTTGATAGCTCTAATAGAAAACGAGAAAAATTGGTCTAAAGTTACAAGTTAGGGACCATATTACAGGTTTCACTGTAGCTCATAGCTAAAAAAAAAGAAGAAAAAAGAGCAAGAAAAGAAAGTGAAAATTCTGAAACAAAAATTTCAGAAAAAAAGCTAGAAAGTGAGTCTAAAATAAAATTTCCAAAAAAAAACAATTTTTGATCTACCGGCTAAAATTTGTTGGCGGGAAGTATGGATCTCCGGGAAAAAGAGGAGTGATTCAATCTCATTTTTTCCTTTTCCCGGACAATTTTTTGTTGTTTTTTCTGCTCTTTTTTCCATACAAATTCCCAATTTTCATCAATTTCAGCACGTCAGAATGTCATCTAACCAACCAGAGCCAAGCTCTTCAAAAATGAAAAATGAGGAAGAGGAAGAATTGAAAGTGAAAGAGGATGAGCAAGAAAAGGCAAGAGAGGAGAAACTACTTTTGAATAAAACGATCTGTCTCCGGAGAGCTACGAATACACCGACGTGCGCTCCAATGTCATTCGACTACATTCTTGACGAGCCAGGATCCGATTTGAGATCGTACACTTCGGTGTCACGACAAGGAATAAGGGATTTAATTTTAAATGCAAAGGAGGTGAACCAGGTGAGTAACAATATGCAATACTGGTCAATGAGAAACACAAAAAAATAGTTTTTAGTTGATTTTTGGTCATTTTGCCAGTTTAGAGGAGTCTGGATCTGGCGTATCAGGCTTCCGATCACTTTGAATGTCTTGGAAGGTGTAAAACAGTCAAAGATTGAAAACCTGGCATTCACAGAATTTTTTGAAAACTTTTAGCTTTTCAGTTGCGATTTCTTAAAGACACCCACTCATGGCCTGTTTTTGTACTGAAAACGTGGAAAAGCAGGTGTCCTTCAAAAATAGGCAATAGCTGAAAATTTAGAAATTTTCAAAAAATTCTATGAATGCAAAATTTTCAATCTAGATCTGTTTTACAGCCTACAAATTTTTCGAATTGATGGGAAGCTTGACAGTCTAGCTCCAGACTTCTGAAAATGACCGAAATGAACGAAAATCAACTGAAAAATACGTTTTTGTATATTTAAACTTTGAGCTCAATTATCTCGATTCGTGTGAAAGATATCAAAAATTTGTCAACTTATAAAATGTTTATCATATTAAGATAAACCATTTGTTAGCTGATCAAATGTTTCTATCTTTTACAGAAATCGAGATATTTGAATACAAAGTTGACGATTCGTGTGGGCTTCTATCTTAGTTTCTGATAAAAAAAGAAAAAGCTCCAGTGTCGGTGTGCAAGTTGCTTCTTCTAGAAAATTCGAAATTTCTAATTGTGGACTAATAGCAAACCGGTTTTTCCAGCTCTACTTTGGTTCTACACCAAACTTGACACTTCAAAATCCAAACGAGTTTCCGTACGGAAGTTTTACAACGGAACGAGCCGAAGCTCCAAATGCACTCTCACCTAAATTGGCTAAAAGAAAGGAGATTTCCATGTACAGAGAAATGATTAGCAGCTGCCAAATGACTGATACGATGAAAAAGGAGCTGGAAAAGAATGAATCGTTTACCAGATGGCAGAGAATCAAAAATGCATATCGAAGGCTATTGGCGATTGACAGAGATATTCATTTGAGATTTGGTTGGTGGGTCATAGAAGAGCCCCAAACGCTTTCTCATTCCGGACACACTTCTGTTCTTTGTACAAGATCAAACACTTTGGCTGATGAGGTGTCGATCGCAGTGGATTCGATTGGGTCTCGAAGTGCTCCGATTGTGAAGCAACGTGGGTCAGGGGACATTCAACTCGAGGAGAGTTTGTACCAAGATGTTGATCCAGAAGGGGATATCATTGAGCCTGACAGACCAGATACTCCACAAGTTGATGCTCCGGAATCCGCTAGAAAAGGGGAGGAGAATCCAGAAGATCGTGGAGTTCAGGAGCCGCTAATTCAGCAAGAAGCTGTAGCTCCAGCTCAAGGAGCTCAAAGGAGAAGTTCGAGTATTCGTAATAGACTTGCGACGGTTTTCCCTTGTCTTATGCCACGAACCAGAGACTAATAGTCTTCGACTTTAATTTTCTTTTATTTTTCGATAATTTTTCTAATATTTAAAAACATATTCTCGAATAAAATTTGATGACGTGACGATGTTAAAGGAATAGTTGTTTGGCGAGAAAGAACCTAGGTATGAATTATCAGGAGACAAAAGAAGAAGAAGGAGATGATTACCTAGCTTCCACAAAAAAAAAACGAAAAGAATCTAGGGGAAAACATGCATTAACGTTTGGATCCACCCACGAACACATCACTTTTTCGATTTTAGTTTAGTAGCTTTCTTCAACAATTTCTAGCAAATGCAAGTACGCTCTAGCGAGAATCCATCTGAATTTTATCAGAAAACCCAATAACCCCTTCTCATGGAAACATAAATAGATACCTCAACGATGTTGTTGAGTGTCACCTGGCTGTGAGTCTAGAGTTACCCATTATTCCCCATGGAGCACAGTTGCCATTACTGATACGGGTGGTCGTCCAAAGCCTACGCTATACGCACACATTGAGCTCATTTATCTCGGCTCTTTTGAAAGATATCAAAAAATTATCAACAGACAAAATGTTTATCATGATATCACCAATATTTTATCAGTTAACGGTTTTTTATAACTTTCATAGGAACCGAGATAATTGAGCTTAAAGTGAACTTTATCACTGTCTGCCTCTGACGACACGCCAGTCTCGAGAAACTGACTTTCAGCTTGGCTTAGATTTCAGAAAAGCAAAGTTCCTTCTTAGAAATGGCTAGGTGACGCTCACATCAGTTTCCCAAAAGCTCCTTGCCATTTTCAGAAGTTTAGAGATTCTCAATTTACTAGCCCTATTGAGAATTTTGTCAAGTGCATCGTCTATCATTTGACAGACATTCTTATAGCTCCCCGTTTTCCTGAATATGTTCTCTCAGTTTTCGTTCACTTCTACTTGTCTAACACGCTGACGACACACATGTTTTCATTCAGAAATCGATGTAATTTTAGTGTTTGATTATAGCCTTTTTCCCCCGATGGGACTAGGCTGCTTATGAATTTACCTAGCGACGTGTGTGGTCGGAAAACTCCAGGCTTCTACTTTGAAACAACAAGACAGGCTCATTCTAGAAAGTTTTTGAGGAGATATTTCTGAGGAAATTCGTTGTTTTTTTTAATTTATGAAGCCCACCCAAATTGTCCTCTTTGAGCTGAATTATCTTGGTTCCTATGAGAGACATCGAAAATGTTTCAGCAGATAAAGTATTTATCATAATAACACCAATATTTTATCAGTAGACAATTTGTTGATATCTCTCATAGGATTTGAGATAGTTGAGCTCAAAGTTAACTGTTTGGATGTGCTTCTCTTTTCTATTGGAGAAATTACGTTGAAGAACTTTGGAAGATTTGTCTAACTTCAACATTGGGAAATCTGAAAAGGCAGTTTAAGACAATCTCCTCTAGAAATTACTGGAAAATTTATAGAGAAAAAAAACTGGCTCAAAATATAGGAGACTCCTCTATTACAAATTTAAAACTTGTAAATTTGAGTTTCTAAATGTAAGAAATATTTTTTTTATTTTCAAATACCTATAGCAACAGCAAAACTTTAGCATTAACCAAAAATTTGTTTTTAGGGAAAAAAAACTAAATACTCACTTTTATAACTTTTGAAGCAAAACGAAAAAAAAAATCACGGCCAATGATTCCTAATCACAAATTAGATGGAAACTTTTATGAACAAGTTAGATGAATCATGCGGAAAAAGATACCACTAATAAAACAGAAATCATCATTTTTCTTCCTAATTATTCTTCTCGCTTGTCTGGCGTCTCTTCTCATGTCCTCACTCTTCTCTACTTTTTCATTTTCAAAATTGTGACGTCTTCTTCCTTTTCGTCCCTATTTTACACTCTTATCATATTCCTACTGAATTCTAGCAATGGCGTCGTCCGGACCATTTGGATCGATTCGAAACAAAAAGGATGCGAATAAGAAACAATTTGAGGATGAGCAAAAAATGCGAGAAGAGAAAGAAAGAGAGGATCAAGAGCAGTACATGAGACAAGTTGAAGCGCGTAATCGAGAAAGAGAAAAAATGGCGAGACGAATGGAGGATACACCAAGAATCGATATTCGGAGTGAAATGTTTCTGGAAGCATCTTCTGGAGATGTTCCAAGACCAGCGACATCGTTAATGAATCTCAAAGATCAGAAAAAAGTGGTGAGTTTTTCTGGGGGAGGGGGGTAGTGGTAAATGGGTGATTAGGGTAAAGTCTAACATAAAAGACAAAAAGTATCTCCAAACAAATGTTAATGAAGTCGGACTTCTAGGAATTGTATCTTTTTACTTGGTGTTCCATGTATTCAGAAACCAAGACTGTAAGAAGTGAATTACCGCTAACCCTTTAGTAGAAGGGCCCCCATATTGTCAAGTTTGAGCTAATTCATCTTGGCTCATATTCAAGATATCAAAAAAAAGTTTGACTGGTAAAATGTTTTGTATCTTTCACAGGAAGTGAAATAACAAAGTGGAAAGTGATCTTTAATTACAAGATTTACGGTAATTATAAAAACCGAAACTAACAAATGTTCTGGATTTTGCTCTCGAAGCATTTTTTCAACTAACAATGTGAATTTTCAAAGGTTTTCCCAAAAACCTTTCCAACATTCGTGAACTATGAAATCAGTAAAAACCTATAATTTTAAAGCATTTACACAACATATTTTAAAACATTTTGAGAGTCGAAGTTTTTCGGTTACTGTCAGAGCAATCAAAATTTCTGTCACTGATAAAATATTGGTGATATTATGACAAACAATTTATTAGTTGACAACTTTTTTATAACTTTGACAGGAGTCGAGATAAATTGGCTTAAAGTTTGGGGGTATTACCGGTTCTAGGGCTGGGAACCCCTAAGATTTTGAGTGATTTAATTAAAAATCAAAATTTCCAGATGAGATCAATTTCATCGGCTAGACTCCCCACAAGATCTGCTCTCGAAGTTCCGGTTCACCCAAACACTTTGTCCGCTCCAGAACCGCCAATGGAACTTCAAGTACTAAATTCATCAGGAGCATTATCTATACTACAGGTAAGTATATCGTAAAAAAGAAATTTCTCAATTCCGAAAGTTTCAGGAAGAACCTGCATTCAATCTTCCTCAAGTCTCTGAAAAGAAGGCTCAGAAAATTGATGCGTTGAATCTTTCAATGAAACGACAAGAAGCGAAAGGACTAAAAATAGAGAGGTCTAGCGATTGGTCAGCTGAACTTGGGTCTGGGCACTCTTCAGTGGGACCACCTTCAGTTGTGGAGATCGAGAGGAAAAATGAAGTCATGGTTAAACCCGAGATTCCAATAAAAGTGAAATTAGCTGGAGAAAAGAAAGAACCGATCGACTTAAATTCTTCATCATCGGAAGTTCAATCTACTCCTGTTCAACCTGCTATAGTTCCGACTGAGCATCTGATTCCAGTTCAAAAGAGCAAATGCTGTTGTATAATGTGATACTAATTTATCGGTAGAGCGCGTTTAAAAAATATTTCTGTAAAAAACTTACCTCCTATATATTTGTTGTAGTATTTATTTTTGAATAAATAAAATTTTTAATGACGCACAAAAATAAAGGACAAATGGAAAACAAAACGGCGATGAGACTACATTGGTCGGTTGGTTGGTTTAAATAGAATATTTACACACCCGAAAAGATCATTTAGAGACCCCATTGATTTTGGATGGAGGAAAAAAGAGTGAACCAGATGGACATATGAATCAGAATGCAACTGTTCTTTGTTTACATGATCACATCTAACATGCAGAACTTCACCAGAAACCAAGGCTGTGCAAAAAGGCGGCTGGCCGCGGCCGGCCTCAGCCGCGGCTCGATTTTTGAGGCCGAGGCCGGCCGCGGCTTTTTTGTGAAAGCCGTGAAAAGCCGCGGCTAGCCGAGGCCGGCCGCGGATAGCCTCATAAAAACGTGTGAAGTGAAAATCAATTAGTTTTTGAATAATTTCGTTTTTTTTATTTTCAAAAAAAAATCTACGTTTCTCATGAAACAATTATTCAAAAGGCCGTGAAAAGCCGCACGGCTAGCCAGGGCCGGCCGCGGCTTCTTCGAATATTTTTTCTGAAACCGCGGCAGGGCTCGGCCGTAGTAAAATCCGGCGTGGCACAGCCTTGCCAGAAACAAATTTTGTTCACTTGAATGGTTTTCATACTTTTACCAGTCGATTTTTCCAGGTCACCCGATTCCAGGCCATCCAGGTCACCCGGATCCAGGTCACCCGGATCCAGGTCACCCGGATCCAGCTCACCCGGATCCAGCTCACCCGGATCCAGCTCACCCGGTTCCAGGTCACCCGGATCCAGGTCACCCGGATCCAGGTCACCCGGACCCAGGTCACCCGAATCCAGGTCACCCTGACCCAGGTTACCCAGATCCAGGTCACCCGGATCCAGGTCACCCGGATCCAGGATCCAGGACCTAGGACCCAAGACCTAGGACCCAGGACCTAGGACCGAGGACCTAGGACCTAGGACCGAAGACCTAGGACCCAGGACCTAGGACCGAGGACCTAGGACCCAGGATACCCGGGTCACCTTCTCTCGAGCCAAGAGAAGGTGAGAACTGATTCTTACTTTCATTTCCATCTTCTTTTATATTACTCTCCCAGATGTCAATGATTTTTAAACCAATTCACGTAGTCGTTTTTTTCTAGAATTTTAAGTTTGTTTCGAAGCTTTTTTTTGCCACGAGGGTTTTTTGAAATGTTTTTTTGATCACGTATAAACTTGAATTTTTACTTTTGAAATATGTGAAAATCCATGAAAAGAGAGTTCCTTTGAACCTAATTATCTTGTTTCCTGTTTGAGATATTAAAATTTTGTCAACTGATGAAATTTTTCTGATATCAAGACAAACATTTTCGCTTTCGAAATTTCTGAATATCTTTTACAGGAACCGAGATATATTTAGCCAAAGTTGCAAAATTATAGGCGCAGTGTGAAGCATTGAAAATGTCTGGATGCATTCACTGTGAGCATGAAACTCACAAGGGAAGGGTGTGAACCTAGGTTGGANNNNCCGGNCNANACCTATGTCGTTCGAAAGCTGAGAACACGCCCTTTCCAAATCTCTTTTCCGTTTTTGCTGCGGACCTACCAGTTTCGAGAAAAATAGGTTTTAAATTTGGGTTGCTCTGGATTTTCTACTGATTTCTTCAATTAAAATGAGAATTTTGGATCGCGTGAACACTAAATACTTAAATACAATTGTAACAATAGAAAATGTCGATTGAATGGCTCAGTGATCTAAATTTAAAACTTATTTTTCTCGAAACTGGTAGGTCCGCAGCAAAAACGAAAAACAGATTCGGAAAGGACGTGTCCTCAGCTTTCGAATGATATAGGTCTCGACCGGAAACTCCAACCTAAGTTCATAACCTTCCCTAGTCAGGTTATTTTTTGATAATTTAGTTTTTCAGAAACCATTGCCCTCCATCAAACAAAATGTTTCTGCAATCAAATATAAAAAATGAAGCAAAGATCATAACAACTTGTGTCACACGGAACTTCAAAATCTGAATCAGGAAAAATAAAAACTGCTCAAATTTCTGATTTAATATCTATGATAATTAGTCACTCTCTGCTCTTGTAATTTCAAATTATTTTTGAGGATTTTTATCATTCTTGTATGTGTTTCGAGAATTTCAATAGGCAATTTATAATGTTCAAATTATTTTTTGTTTAAAAAATGTTTTTAAAAAATTGAAAATTCTTCAACGGATTTATTATTTTCACATGAATCACATCTCTGAACAGCCTAAAGCAGGTCTATTGTAAAATTTTGCAGTTTTGATCTACCTACGCCGGAGCGCGCCTAACAGCAAAAATAGTTGTAAAAAACAAAATTGATTTTTTTAGTTTCAGTTGGTTTTTTCCTTTTTCTTTCCTTTTTCTGTTTTTTTTTCAATTTGTTTTATGTCGTCCAATTCTTGAAATGTCTGAAATTTGAATTTTCGATTTTTCAGCCTTCCAACATGACTGATAGACAAGAAAACTACGGATACAGAAAAGTCGGTCAATTTTTTGATCAAATGTTCCGCGAGAGGCGTGTTGAAGACTTTTTGAAGGATTTGAATGAATACAATGTGAGTTTTTGATTGGAATGTTTGCTGGGAATACTCTAATAGAGTGACACCCGGTGCGTCATGTTTGAACCCATATATCTCGGTTCCTAAAAAAGATATTACAATTTCGTCAACTGATAAAATATTGTTGATATGATGATAAACATTTTATCAGTTGACACAGTTTTGATATCTTTCACAGGAATAGAGATAGGTAAGCTTAAAGTTGACAACTTGAGTGGCCCTCTATTAAAAATTTTTTATTTATGTTTTGATTTTACAGAATCCAATAACGACAACAACAACAACAACACATTTGGACTCGAAACTTCAAATTTCAAATCTTGTTCACACTTTGTCTCCAACCATTCGCCTTATCCAAATGGGTAATAGATGGGACAACCCATCATCCGACGAGGTTACAGACATCTCAAGTTCATGGGTACTAACTAAATCTATCCGCCAAAAACTAAATGTCTTTCTTTCCAGATCAGCCTAGATCCCGACGATCAAGAAACAGAAGAACCATCAACGCTAACCGAAAGAGCATCCAGATTTCTGTATCAAGTCCTTTGTTTCGGACTCTGTCCAGCCAGACCGAGAGTTCCGGAGCTCAAAGTCACTCCACCTACTCCAAAGAACAAGGGAGACTCGGAAGCATCGAATGTGGTTGCCAATCCGATGAATTCATTGAAATTGCCGAAAAGATTTAAAGTGATGGCACCGTCCCGAGAGAATGTTGGAGGATAAGAAAAACGATAATTGGGATAATTAAATTACTTCCTGACACTAACATGTATTTTGTGAGTACCTTGAACTGATTTTTTGAAACTTTTTTTGATAAAAAATGATAACGATTGTTATTCAATCCCTTATTTTTTCTGTTATTTTAATGTTTCTTCTCAATGTAATTTACCTTGTGCAAAGAGCCTAACAACATCGAAGATTCTGAAGCTATCCGAACCTTGGCATCGATGAAACGTCCAAAATTTGTTGAAATCCCATCGCAAAATTCTCCCAAAAAAAATGTACAATTGAGCTACCGTAAATGCTCTGATAGAATCCCACCCTACATCACTTTGAGCTCAATTATCTCGATTCCTATGAGAGATATCAAAAATTTGTTCACTGATAAAATATTGGTTGCTTTGTGATAAATAATTCATCAGTTGACACATTTTTGATATCTCTCAAATCAACAGAGATAATTACCCTCAAAGGGAGCATACAGGTATTTAATAGAAGCCCGCTCTATACGAGCATTTTGAGCTCAATTATCTCGGTCCCTATGAGAGATCTTGCATAGGAGCCGAGATAACTGAGCTCAAACTGGACAAGGGGGGGGGGTGCTGTTCTATTACAGGTTTTTTTAGTATACTGTCTTTCTCCTCGAGTTGAAAATTTTTGATCTAAAGTTCATCTCAATGGAAGTTCAAACTTGTAATATTTTAATCTAGATCAAAAATATTCAAATTTGCGCGGGAGTTTTTAGTCATCATCTCGCCTCAATTTGTTTGTCTTCTTGTCATTTTTCTTGTTTTGTTTCCCCTGTTCCAAATCTCAAACTCCATCTATTTTCAGCAAGTCGAAAATGGCCGAGACTCCCAGCATACCTAAATTGAAGCAAATGTTCGGCAAAAGGCATGTCGAGGATTTTTTGAAATATTCAAACGATTACAATGTGAGTTTCCCTATAGTTTCACCTGCAATAGAAGGGCGCCCGAACTTTTAACTTTGAGCTAATTTTTCTTGGTTCCTGTCAAAGGTATCATAAAGGTGTCAACGGATAAGTTGTTTATCACAAGATCAGAAACATTTTATCAATTGACACAACTTTAATACCTTGCATAGGAATTGAGATAATTGAGCCTAAACGGAACAGTGTGTTGGGCCCTTCTATTAGAGTGTTAGCGGTATTCCTCTCGCAAATTTAGAAGTTGTTTCAGAAGCCATCAACCTCCGACTTCAAACCAAAACTATCAATTGAGACAAGAAGTTTTCCTCCGATTCCGAAATACATGCCATATTTCCTCCAACCTATCAAAATGCTGAATGAAGATAATCAGGCCCAGCCTCCAAACCCTCCGGTAGCTCCAGCAGAGGCGGCAAGAGTAGTGCAAGGAGAAGAGCAAGGAGGCCAACCGAAGAACAATGATGCACCTGCTCAGCAAGCCCCAGAAGCTCAACCCGCCAACCAACCGGCTCCACAGGTCAATACTCCGGTAAGCTTACAAAAAACCTGAAAAAATAATTCAGCATTTTTGTTCCAGAACTCAAGAGGCGCTTACTTTGCTTGCTGGAAGAAACCACCCGGACCTCATATATCGGTTCAATCTGCAACTTCAGTAGCCAACTCTGATGCTACTGATCAGCCAGCACAGCAAAACGCAGTCATGCCACAACCCCAAACCCAACTCAACATCTTCATAAGATTCTTGAATTTGTTCCGAAGAAATAATCAGGTCAACAATCAGGTCGGCAATGCCGCTCCTCCGGTGAACCAGATAAATCAACTAGCAGTCCCCGAACAACTCTATGGAGATGCAAGAAACAACGAAGCTGCCGATAATAATGCACAACCGGAGCAAAATAATGAAAATGCACAGAATGCAGAAAATGCTCCAGTGAACCCCGGACTGAATCTTGGACCAGAGCAAAAAGGACCAGGCACTCCTAGACCAGAATAACCGAATTGAAATCTGAAAAATAGTTTGATAAAATAAGCAACTAGCGTTATTTGATGTATTTTTAAAAGTTATTTATCTTGTACACTAATAATATTGTCTATTTCAATTATATATCGATATTTGATTTTTGCTTATTTGGAAATCTAATAAAAATTATAATAATTCGATAACGGTTTCAAGATTACTGTAATTATCAGTTCAAAATGTATTCTTTTTTAATTCAAAACTTTTGAAATTTTGATTCAAAAATTTTGAACCGCCTGAAAAAAAAGGTAGATCAAAAAATTTGGAGGTAGCGCGCGAAGTTTTGAGTTTCGTTTTTCTTTTTCAGATTTTGTCATCCTTTTTGATGAATTCGCTTTTTTCTCATTTTTACTGAAATTTTACCTGTAATAGAAAGGCCCCACCACACTGCCAAGTTTTAGCTCAATTATCTCATTTCCTATGCAGAATATCAAAAATGTGCCAACTGATAAAATGTTTCTGATATTTTGATAAACAATTTTTCAGTTGAGCACTTTTTGATATATTTCACAGGAACCGAGAAAAACTAGCTCAAAATTAAGGTGCCCTTCTATTACAGGTTCTTTTATGATACATTTAAAAATTATGTTTTTGAAGTTTTCAGCACGTCGAAATGGCTGAGGACCCCGCCGGAATGAGCAAATGGCGTCAGAAGTGGTATCAGGTGTTTCGAGAAAGACATATTGAGGATTTTTTGAAACATGTAGAAGCAGATAATGTGGGTTTCGGAATTTTTACTTATTTCCAATTTTGATTATTTTCCAGGAGCTCCCAACCTCTACCTGCAACCCAACACCAAACATTTGTGCTCATTCTCAATTCCCAAAACTTCCTCAACTGTTTCCCATGTCTATCAGGATGCTGGATGACCAGGATGTTCAACCGGGACCTTCGAATCCTAGGAGAGAACCAGATGGCGCAGACGAAGGAGCCAACCAACCCGGAACGGCGAGACAAGAACAGGAGGAGCCGAGAGAAGAGAATCAACCAGGAGAGAATCAAGCGGAAAACCGTAGAAATCGGAATGTAAGCAACTTTTGGAATCAAAAGCTCATTTATCTCAATTCCTATGCAAAATATCGAAATTGTATTCACTGACAAAATATTCCTGATATTATGATAAGCAGTTTATCAGTTGACCACTTTTTGCTATCTTGGACAGAAACCAAGATAGATTGGTTCAAAGTTAAGGGGGGGGGGGGGGTCTTTCTATTACAGGTTGCATAGTAACTTCCTACTGTTTCCATGGTTTATGAACCCTAAAAATTGTATTTTTTCAGCGAATAAATGTCATCGATGATTATCCAATGCCACGACGTCATGCTCGAGAAAACCTAGGCTGCTGGACAAACGTCGAAATTTGGTGTGGAGGAGGTGTCCCGGTACTCAGACTTGAGACTCCAACGGCGGAGCCTAGAATTGAGGCAAGAGTCGAACCGAATGTTTTTAGCAGGACGTGGGCTAGAATTAAAAGATTTTGGAATGGAGCAGAGGTTGGCGTCATCGGGGATCCACCACCAGCAGCCCATCCAGATGAGAATGCTCCGGCTGCCGATGCTGATCCACCTGTTGAGATCGATCCAACAATGCGTCTAGCTGTACCAAAACCGAATCTTAATCCTCTTGTACCACCGCTACCTATCGGTCAGCAGCCAGAGCCTAATAATCTTGGAAACAACCCAGATGTTCAAGCCCCGGAACTCCAAGATCGCCCCGGAACTTCAAGACATTTTCAGCTTTAATAATAATAATAATTTTGTAATTTTCAATCTACATTGAAATTCGATTATTCTGACTATTTCATTTTTATTTATATTTTCAAATTTATTTATATTTTCAAATTTATTTATATTTTCAAATTTAATAAACTAATAATTTACAAAAAATTTTTGGCCGTTTTGAACATTTTCAATAGTCTGGAGCTCGGTTGTCAAGTTTCCTATTAATTTCAAATTATTGGAGGATGTAAAATAGACCTAGATTGATAACTTAGCATTCCCAAAAATTTCTGAAAATCCCTAGTTTTTCAGATATTTGCCGATTTCCGAAAGACCTATTGTTTTCACGCTTTCAGTACAAACCCGGCCAAAATGGTGTCCTTCAGAACTCGTAAAATATCTGAAAAACTAGGAATTTTTAGAAACTTCTGTGGATGCTAAGATATCAATCTAGTTCTGTTTTACACCCTCTAAAGTTTTCAAAATGATCGGAAATTCGACAGCCGAACTCTAGACTCCAGAAAATGGTCAAAATAGCTAAAATCAACTGAAAATCCTTTTTTGTAGAAGTAAGATATTTTTGATCTACTAGGAAGAAACGATCTATGAAACTCGTTACAAAGATGAATTTTCCTCTTTTTTGTTTTTTTTTTTTAATTATTACTTTTGCTTTTCCACCATGTATCTAACTCCTATATTTTCCAGCTCGTCAAAATGTCTGATGACGAAGGAAGCTCCTCCAACCATCAACGCCCGGACAGATTTGCGGAATATGATGTTGTCGATTTTTGCTATCACATTGTACGTTTCAAAAGACTTCAAACAATGAAACCTGCAACAGAAGGGCTCCTAACTGTTTTCGAGCTCTTAGAGCCCTTCAAGCTCAATTATCTCAATTCCTACGCAAGATATCAAAAATATGGCAACTAATAAAATGGTGGCAATATTATTATAAATAGTTTATCACTTGACAGCTTTTTGATATCTTTGACAGGAACCGAGATAGGGGCCCTTCTGCTACAGGTTTTACGATACCTCTTCTTTCCAGGATCCATCAACGTTCAGTGGAGAACCGAGACTGCCAAATATCACAGGACAAGAAGTTATTCCTAGTTTTTTACACTATGTGAGAAGAAAATGGCACAACACTCCGGAAATTGTGGTGACTCCGCCTCCGAATACGAATCAGATTTTTGATCATCCGTCGGATCTATTTTTCGCTCCGAATCCAAGACCTCCGAGATTTACTCTCCAGATTCCAGAACAAGTTTATGAACGTGGAGATCGACCAGTACGAGAATCAAGAGAAGGAGAATCACAAGATGAACCCAGAATTCAAGTTCAGAATCTAGTTGCCCCATTGGATTCTAATGATCCAGGACCAAATGCTCCATCGGTGGAGACGACAGACGTGTTCGGACCATTACAAGATATTTCGATATGATTAAGAGGACATTCGGATGTGGAGCCACCAATTCGGTTACTCCAGCTCTCATGCCATCGGAAGATCGGGAAAATTAAAAAGTTTACTAATTGAATTTATAATTGAAATTATTAAAACGATTTCTATGTATTTTTGACACTGTTTTGTATTTCTTATCATTTTGTAATATTTGGATAACTTGCTCTATTAATTTTTGATTTTTGAATAAATGATGACATCTTTTTTTGGTTCAAAATTTTTTGATCTACCAATAAATATCATAGGCGCCAATAAAATAGAATTGATGACAAAGGGAATCTCAATGCATTTTTCTCATTTTTCTGGTTTTTTTTTGACTGGCACCAATAACCGTATACCGTATTTCATCTATCAAAAGCTTACCCAACTTTGAGCCCATTTATCTCAATTCCTGTGAAAGACATAAAAAAAGATCAACTGATAAATTGTTCATCATAAAATTATATGCATCTTATCAGTTAAAAAAATTTTGATATATTTTACAGGAATCGAGATAAGTGAGCTCAAAGTTAACCTACTTTTCAGCACATCGAATGGATGAGATCTTCGGAACGAGGTGGAGATGGCGTCAAATGTTTAGCGAGAAAAGAAATTTTGAGGATTTTTTGAAGAATTTGGATGGATACAATGTGAGATTCAAGAACTAGAATTTTTCAATATTCTAATTTTCTTAGGAGCCATCGATCTCTAGATTCAAAATGAATCAGCCGATTACGAATTTTCTTCCTGTTTTAAAATATTTTCAACCTTTCATTCAACCTGCCAGAATGATGAATCAGGAACCACCAACAAATCCACAGATCCCAACTGAAAAATTCAGCCTTTTACAAAATTCGAATTTTGCAATTCCTTTGATCCGAATCGCCAAAACTGCCGATGAACAGAACTCTCCAAATGATGGTTTTTGGAATAGAATGAAGAAAACTGTATGCGGAATGTCATTTGAAATTTGCCGAAGACGACCCAACACTATTAATCCGGAGAATGAGGTGAGGCCTTTTTAAAAGCAATTTCAGCATTTTCATCGGAAAAGGACCAAGTTTAAAAGTTGACGTTATTCGATTATTCTAGAAAAAAAAACGGGACAAGAATAGAGAATTTTACTCTTTCTAGTAAAAAAATTTGGTTCGCTTTTGAGATATTACTGTCGTGAGGTATTTAAGATACTCAAAACTCCGAATCGGTTTCAAAATTTTTAGTGGTTTTTCACGTTAGCTTTTAGACCGGTACCTAGGTTTGTAATTACCGTAGTTCTTATAATAGAAGCCCACCCAAACCTTCAATTGTGAGCGCAATTATCTTGATTCCTGTGAAAGATATCAAAATTTGTCAACTGATAAAATATTTTTCATAACATCACCAATATTTTATCAGTTGACATATTTTTGATATCTTCCACAGGGATCGAGATAGTTGAGCTCAAAGTTGACGGTTTGATAGACTTTTATTTAGGTTGTTTTGCAATTTTTCCATTTCCAGATCGGAATAGAACCAGTTATTCTTGTACCAAATGTCCGTGTGGATCCACCAACCCCTGTGAATGATGACGCAACTGCTCCCGAAGCTCCAAATCCAAATCCAGATGTAGACACTACGGTAAAATAGGACCTTCAAAAACGTTTATAAAAACGGATTATTTCAGGAGGAAACCCCAAACAATATTATTCCTGGACGGGCCATCAATGATAGATCAATTCGATATTTGAAAGTCCCGAAGAGAAAAAGGAAGAAGAAGAGGACGCCAACACCACGCCCACCACTTCCACCTGGGGATCAATTTCCTCCTAGAGATGAACAGGAGCCATCCACAGATCAACCTGGAACGTCAGCTCAATAATTAGACTGACAATTTGATAATAGTAATAATAATAATAATAATAATAATAATAATAATAATAATAATAATAATAATAATAATAATAATAATAGTAACTGAATAATCATAAGTATAATTAACTAATTAGTGTATTTTGTTGTTGATGTACTATTTAGAATATTTGTACATATTCTTTTTTGGAACTTATTACTCACTTTATTTTTTTCATATTTCAAAAATTTGGAATTAATAATAATAATTTTTTTCGTTCCTGCAGTTTGTGAAGAATTTCAGCAGTATTCATTTCTGATAGTTCGAAGATTATTTCCAAAATCATCGAATACGATAAAACCTGTAATAGAAGGGCATGTTGACTTTTAACTTCGAGCTGGTTCACCTTGGTCCCTGTCAAAGATATCGAAAAGCTGACAACTGGTAAATTTTTTATCATAATATCACCAATATTTTATCAGTTGAACATTTTTGATATCACTCATAGGAGCCGAGATAATTAAGCTCAAACGTTACAGTGTGGGGTCCTTCATTGGCAAAATCATGTTTTTGAAATTTTTGATCTACTTCTCTAAAGTACATTTGAAAATCATTTCCCGCGAACATTGGGACCATTCTAACAAAATCTGCAATTGTTCAATTTTCTTTCTCGCTTTTTCCTTTTTTATAGTTTTGTTCCCTCAATATTTATATAATTTTTCCAGCAAACCAGAATGAGAGGAGCCCCGTTCAGTCCGAAGAAAAATGACGTTCAGGATGATGATAGAATGTTCTATCCCAGAGCAGATGCTCAAGTTCATGTTTCGCCCAACAGAGTTGGAGCGGCATCAGGAAGACACGTGGATCCCCCAAGACCTAGTGTAGAAGAGGTAAGGGTTCTGGAACTTTTCATTTTTGGATTGTCGTTTTGAATTATCTGCAATAATAGAAGCCCACCCTATGCCTGCACTCTGAGCTCAATTGACTCGGTTCCAATGAAAGATATCAAAAAAGTGGTCAACTGACATAATGTTAACCATAATATCTAAAATATTTTATCAGTTAACAACTTTTTGATATTTCTCACAGGAACCGAGATAAATTGGCTCAAAGTCAAAAGTAAGGGACCCTCCTAACACAGGGTTTAAGGTAACAAAATCAATATTCAAAATTTCAGCAAGACTCAAATCAACCAGGACCATCCAGCCCGATTGGATCGGTAAACACTTTGGAATCCGCAGATACTCTGCTTAAGGAAATTCTAGCAGTAAGTTGTACCCCCTTGAATTCGATTTTCAAATTCTCACTTTAGGGACGAACAGATGACAATGGTTCACCTTCGGACATCCATAGAAAACACTCCGGATACTCATTTGGAAATCTTATCATGGAATCTAATTATAATACGCCGGTAAGCTTTATTTTAGATTCACTGGTTCAAACTAATTTTGAATTTCAGGCAGAGACACCGAGAGCAGGCGCATCCGCTAGTACATCAAATCAACAGGGAAATGCTCCGCGAGCATCAGAAACGGTCCGAAGACGATCTGCTGCTCATGAGACTTCAGCTACGCCAGCTGTTCATCGATCTCCAGTTGCTCCAGCGGCTCTTCAAAACAACCAAGCGGCTGATGGGGAATGGCGCAGAAGAATTCGCGAAATCTGTAATTGCATAATTATGTGATAATAAGGATTTATCTAATTGAAGTTTAATAATTATTGTTTTCATTATCTTCTACTGACTTTTTTATGTGTATTTTCGAATTATTGACTTTTAAGAATGATTACAGTATATGTATTCCTTATTTGCAATATTTGGAGCCAATGTAAGTTTAATAAAGTTTGTAGACATAAAACTTTAATTTTGATCTATTCTTATTTTTGATCTACCATCTGACCGATCCAAAAAATAATGACAAATTTTTCAAGAGAATTTTCTCTTTTCTTTCCATTTTTTTTTCTTTCAATATTTATTCTCATCGAAACCTGGACTTTTCGAATTGAACATCAAAATTTTCAGCACGCCAGAATGACCGAGAACCCCAGAATAAGCAGATGGGCCTGGATGTTCGGCGAGATGTTGCGCGAGAGACGTGTCGAAGATTTTTTAAAGCATTTGGATGGATACAATGTGAGTTTCCATGCTCGACCTACAGTACCTGTCGAAAAGATATAAATACAAAAACGTATTTTTAGTTGATTTTCGGCCATTTTTACCTTCTTCAGAAGTCTGGAGCTCAGCTGTTAGGCTTCAGATCGTTTCGAAAATTCTAGAAGGTGTAAAACAGACCTAGAAGGAATAGTTTGTATTCACAGAATGTTTTGGGAATTCCTAGTTTTCCAGATATTTGCAGAAATCTGATAGACACTTTTGACCTATTTGTGAATGCAAAGTTTTTAATCTAGGTCTGTTTTACACCCTCCAAGATTTTTAAAGAAATCCGACACTTGACAGTAGAGCTTCAAACTCCTGAAAATGGGTACTGTAGATTCGAAATCATTTTTTCAGGAGCCACCAAGCTCTCGATTCAAAACAGAGCCATCGAACCGGACCATCGGGCGCCAGCGAGTTTCAAACTTCATACCTTTTTTTATCGCACCCATCCGAATGTTGGATAAGGATCCAGAAAATCCACCAGCGGATAGTGAATCTCCAAAGGAGCCGGTAAGTTTTGGTGTCTTGTTTTTTTCGGGCCCAGCCATCGTTTCTTTTAGAATCAATATTTTCAAACCAACTAAATCGGATATGATAGAAATCAACGAGTACTACAAAACGATACTATTTGGATTACTGTATCTTGTTCATTAACAAAGTTACAAGGCCATAAAGTAGCGGCGCCCGGCAATGCCTCGCCTGGCCGACAGGGTCTTGCTTTTGTTTTGTTTGTAACTTTGTTTAAAGACAAAATACAGTAATCCAAATAACATCATATTGAAGAGTCGAATTAAAAAAAGTGTCACCTGAGAATTTGAAAACTTTTGCTTTTTTTGATCTACGAAAAAGTGCGGCAAAAACATAATATTTCAGAATGTCGGCTCGTTCGAGCTACATTCGCGTTTAAGTTTAGTTTTTGCTGAAAAATAGATACTAGAGATGCTTTTTTTCTAGAGATTTTAATACCAAGAAATCAAAATTTTGTTCAGAAAATCCCACTAAATTCACATAAATAAATTTGTTATCTACAGTATCCGTTTTCGTTTCCGTACTCGTCAAGTTCTATCATACCTGGTTTAGTTGGTCAAAAATATTGATTGCAAAATAAACTATGGCACAGTTTGCAAACACACTATCTGTTTTAGGAGCAAGAACAGAATCGGAGAGGTCTCTATGCGCAATACCTCCGTGGAGATCTACAATCTGAAGAAGATTCACAAGGGCCTTCTGGAGAGAATCCTGTAGACGATCCACTACAGAACAATGAGCCAGAACTTCCAAATTTGAAAGAAAATGCCGTTTCGGAACCTAGACAAGAACGTATTGGAACAGATGTAAGTTTTCAGTTTGGCATCACTAAATATTCCAAATTTCAGTCAAACTGGGTAGCCAACTGGCCAGATGGACCTCCAGAACCAGCTGCAGAGACTGTGGGACGGATGCAGGTAAAAATAAAAATATGGAATGTCTTCAATCAGTGGTTTTTCAGAGAATCAGAAAATGGTTCGCCGATTTTTGTAAGTGCTGCTCCGTACGAACGAATTCAGAAGAGACATCCATGGAGATGCAGAATGTGGCCGCTGATCCTGTAACAGTGTCTACGGTAAGAAAATTTGAAATTGAGAGACTCTTATTTTGTGAAATTTAGGCTGGGTCTTATGAAGAAGACCCATCATCAGTGGCAGAAAGTCAGCCCGGACCATCATCGCCACCAACGAGAGCAGAGGATCCATCTGTGCCCGGACCTTCAAGTTCTACTGAAAATCAGGGCAATCAACAAGGTTTCAAGAAGAAGTTGTGTAGAATTTCGAATCCCCCTGATAACGAAACACAACCATCGACCCAAAAAGCAACACTGAAACGACAATAATTTATTAATAATCTAATTTTTAATAATCTAATTTTTAATAATTGAAATTTTGTAATAATCTTATATGGTTTGTATTTCAAACTTATTTTTATTACTAACTCGTTTATTTTGTAACTTATTGTAGAAATATATTTTTCAATAATATGTCTATTTTTTTTGTATTTTTTGTGTTATCGAATAGTTATCAAATACCGTAAACACTCCTAAAGAAGAACACCCTATACTTTTTATCAGTTGGTAGTTTTTTGATATCTCTGATAGGAACCGAGATAATTGAGCTAATGGATTTTCAGCATACCGAAAACACAAGTAGATTGACTTTCAACCCGTCAACTTTGAGCTCAATTATCTCGTTTTCACTGAAAGATATCAAAAATATGTCAATTGATAAAGTATTGATGATTATGATAAGCATTTTATCAGTTGACACATTTTTGATATCTCTTATAGGAATCGAGATAATTGAGCTCAAAGTTGACGGTGTGGGTGGGCTTCTAGTAAAGGCAATACGGTAGTTATTTTTTCAATTAATAAACCTGCCGGGCTCGAAATATTTTTTGATCTACTTCTATCAATTCTGGCGGTAAAAATAAAGTAAGGAACATTTTTTTCAAATATTTCTCTTTTTTTTTCTTCTTACTCCGATAAATTAACATCATAACCCTGACCTTCTCAATAATAATCGTATTTTTCAGCTCGCCAAAATGGCTGATGGATTAGGAAACAGGAGATGGACGCGAATGTTTCGCAAGAGACACGTCGAGGATTTTTTGAAGCATATGAATGAATATGATGTGAGTTTTGAAATTTTGACTTCAATTTTGAAAATCTGCAGCTTCAGGGACCAACGACAAGGCATTCGGAAGCGACCCAATCAACACTGCCCAGTTTTCCAATTTTCCGACGTGGCTTCATGGTTGATGAGCAACAAAACAGATCATCATTTTTCGGAGGTGTTCGCTGCTTCCGTCAACCCCAACCACCCCCACCGTCAACCAATAATAACCCGCAAATCGGAACAGTGGTAGGAGAATATTGCCATAAAACCTGTAAAAGAGGTGCCCCCACACTGTCAACTTTGAGCTCAAGTATCACTGCTCTTGTGAAAGCAATCAAAAATTTGTCAACTGATGAATTATTTATAATATTATCACCAATATTTTATCAGTTGACAACTTTTTGATATCTTTCCCCAAGAACAGTGATACTGAGCTCAAAGTTGACAGTTGGCGAGAGGCTTTTTTGTTTCAGTCCCACTGGGAAGCGCCATGGCCAGACGGACCACGGAGAACAAGAACGGAGGTGAATTTTTACTAAAATTTGCGTATTTGACCTAATTAGACAATTTCAGAAAATCTTGAATTGCTTCGGCGATTATTGGAGACTGTTCACACGAAGAACGCCACGACAATTGGAAAACGTGTCGTTGCAAGAGCTGGAGCCAGAACCTCAAACTAATTTGACAGTAAGAACATCGCATAGAATTCGATATACGGAAAAAACCTGTAATATAAGGGCCCCTGACTTTTAACTTTGAGTCAATTTTTCTCGGTTCCTGTCAAAGACAGTTAGAAACTGATAAATTGTTTATCATAATATCAGAAGTGTTTTGTCAGTTGACGCATTTTTGATATCTTGTATAGGAGCCGAGATAAATAAGCTCAAACTTGATTGTGTGGAGGTCCTTCTATTTCAGGTTTTACGGTGATATTCTATTCGTTTAGGTGTTGTCGGATAACGGATCCCCACCACCGGTTGAAGACCTGTTAACCCAGTCACCCCTACGAACACCGGCTCCAGAAATTCAACCGGCTTGAATGAGCCATGCACATCACACCAACCGGTATTTAGAAAACAAAAATGTAACAATATAAAAATTGATTCCAGGCCGATTTTACGGACAGAAAACAGCCAAAGATCGCCAATGACGAGCATCAGCCATGGATTCCAAGTGCAACAGAAGATCCAGACGCCGTTAGAGAGCAGGAAACATATCTCTAGATTGAGATTCACTACAATAACTATTATAATCAATGGAGGTTAATCAATTAAGAATAATTGCTGATGCTTTCTGTATTTTAATTATCTTGTACTGCCTATTTTCTATTTGAAACTTATTTTGTGTGTTTATTTTGGAATAAACTTTTGAATTTTTATTTCGAAAAATTCTGGAAATGAGATTTAAAACGAAGCCTGAACATGCGTCAAACAGAAATGGAGCAGAATCCGGAACATCAATTTGTCCACCTCCGACCTCACGCCAAATAGCGCAAGCCCCGCCTGAGCCCACTCAAACCGTCAGCTTTGAGCTCAATTATCTCGGTTCCTGTTATAGCTATCAAACATTAGGTAACTTAAAATATAATGATAAGTAATTTATCAGTTGACAAATTTGTAAGATCTGTCGATAGAACCGTGATAACTGAGCTCAAATTTGACAGTTTGGGCGCTCCTATTAGTCGAAATACCGTAATATTGATTTCCCAGAATTACGGACAAGTCTCTCAAACTAAACAAGTTTTGCTCTACTTTATGAAATTTTTTTATATGTTTGATCTACAATTTTGGCAAAAAAAAATTGGTCTAAACAATAAAGTTGGAAAAAGCCAAATTTTTACTTTTTTTCGTTTATTTTTTTCTATTTTTCTCTTATTCCTGTCTTGTTTTTCTAATTTTTAGCCAGTCAGAATGTCTGGTGCTGGTCCATCAAATGAGGTTGAAATGAATGTGCTTCAACCAAAAACCGATCCTCCAGCTGGAAGAAGAGAAAGTAGAATATCGATAAATTCTGATTTGGATGAGGAGGTGAGCCTAGATTAGACTGCCGTAACACCTGTAATAGAAGGGCCCCCCTAACTTTAAACTTTGACTCAATTTTTCTCGGTTCCTAGCAAAGATGTTGAAAAATAGTCAACTGGTGAACTGTTTATCATAACATCAAAAATGTCTTGTCAGTTGAAACATGTTTGAAAACTTGCACAGGAATTGAGATAATTGAGCTCAAAATTGAGAGTGTAGGGGCCCTTCTATTACAGGTTTTACGATATCCTACAACCATTTTCAGCAACGACAGGCATATTTGACTGAACATGTCCCAGAAGAATATAAACGTGATCCTAATCAAAGGAGGGAAGACAGCGATAATGAAGAACTGAGTTGCTGTTCGAAATGTTGCGTTGATTTGTGCATGAGCGTAAGGAAAAAGAGTTATTTTTCATCGAAAAGTATAATGTTTCCAGATATGCATGCCTATTTGTATGTGCAAGTGCTACAAATGGGGAGACGCCACGAAACCTCAAATCAAGGTTGTAAAATATCAACATTGAAAATCGGGAGTTACAAATTTCGTTTTTAGGAACGAAATCCCCATACAGGACTAGAGATTACGCCCGAGCAACTTGCAGCATTGAAAGCGGCAAAATTACAAAAAGCTGCAGCTGGAAATGTAAGGAATTACTGTATTTCATCTAGTCAACCCAAACCTACCTATGGCCCACCCAAACCGTCGACTTTGAGCTCAAATATCTCGTTTCCTGTAAAAGATATCAAAAAATATCAACTGATCAAATATTGGAGAGATTATGATAATCATTTTGTCAGTTGACAAATTATTGATATCTCTCACAGACATCAATATATTTGAGCTGAAAGTTGACGGTTTGTGTGGGCTTCTGTTAGAGGAAACAATGTATTTGGATCTTTCTGGAATTCCTGACTTTTGAAATTTCAGGAAGTCGCTCAAACGGACCCAGGTGCATCTACATCGCTTGTGATCGAAGATCCCAATGCACAAGATTCAACGACACAGCATTCAGCAGTTTCAGAAGGTACTCCAGGACATTCTAAACCGGATCAGCAAGCAACTCTAGAATCCGGAGAATCTTCCCAAGCATCACCAGGAACCCGAGAAGAATTGTCAACTAGGAACCTGGAAAGTCCTTCAGACTATAATAAACCATCGTCTTTCACTCAAGGTAATGATCCGGCGAGCACTGAAGTAACCATTAGAAAACCCAATAGACAAGCCGCAATCATATACAGAAGAATTCATCTAAGTGCACCAATTCCTACGACTACGAAGACATCAGACACGGAGAAACCACCGATGCCAAAAAAGGAGGCTCCTACCGAAACGCCAATTATGGGTCAGCCTGGAACATCAAGAGAATCAGAAGGATCGGATGAGGTGAAATTGCATCTTCCAAAGAAATCCAATAAAAAGGGACAATCGAAAGTGGTTTTCAAAAAATACCGTCCAACATAATGGTATTTGAATAATGGACTTAATTGAATAATTTGTCAGGTTTATTTAATTTCTCTTGTATTTTTGCTATCTTGTCTCTATCATTTTGAAAATAATTCCCCGATATTTCATTGTGATTATTCTGATAATAAAGTGAACGGTAATTAACACAAATTAGCATTTATTTGATGAATTGTGGAGTTCTCCCAACGCAACGTGGTCTTTTGAGATGTCGGCGCGCAACTTCTGTTGAAGCATGGAGGGGTTCGGCTTTTGGACGGTTCTTGGTCAGGTCTTCGTCAAAAGTTGTTCACTGACAGCTGAAGAAGGAAACTGGGCATTTTGTCAGAAATTGCTCGAAAGTTGAAAAATGGTCGGCTCTTGGACGGATCTTTGACGGATCTAGCTGTATTTTTTTTTTGCAAACTCCTAAAAAGCAACATTCAACCTGCAAACTTTGCGCCCATGTATCTTATTTCCTTTAAAATATCTAAAAAAGATGTCAACAGCTCCGATTCCACCTCTATCAGCTCCAATTCCACTTCAATCAGCTCCGATTCTCCGATTCCACCTTCACCAGTTCCGATTCCACCTCCACCAGCTCCGATTCGACAACCACCAGCTCCGAACACCACCAGCTCCGATTCTCCGATTCCATCTCCAGCAGCTTATAAATTGCATACTTTCCTTGTTTTCTAAAGTGCACGGGTGGTTTAGTTGTATGAATCGTCGGCTGTTAAGCTGAGGGTTTTTGGTTCGACCCCTGCCAAGGATTTTCCTTTCTTTGTCGTTTGTTGCTTTTTGTGAAAATATGCCGATTCCTCTGAGCTACGCAGTCCCAATTCTAGTTCCTTGTAACTATGTTCATAGACAAGATACAGTAATCCAAATAGTATTATTTTGTAGCTCTCGTTAAGTTCTATCATATCCAATTTAGTTGATCCAGCATTATTGATAATAAGAGGAACTATGTCTGGTTGAAATAGTATGTTCATTACCTTCGTCATCACTCACAATCAAACTCCAGATTTTCATAGTCACAAACTAGTACAATTCGAACGAAGAAAATCCAATCCAAACATCTCATTTTTACATCATCATCACTCGGAAAGAAAAATAACAAAAAATCAGAACCAAGCAGATCATGCGAATCGATGGTGTCGAAAAAAATTGTCTGGGAACAATTTTTTTTGGCTTGAATCATACTTGTTTTTTCTTTTCAAAAATCTGAAATAGGTCAGGGAGAAACCTCTGGCCAGCCTACAATTTTTTGTGTAATACGATTAAAAAAGCCAGAACACTTGTTACAGGACTTCATTGAAAATCCAATAAATACTCTGGAAAAATGGGTCTGGAAGAATCTTATTATTTAGTTACAAACTCTAACTAAAAAAATTAATACACATATTTTTAACAAAAATGTACGCCGTTTAGATAAAAATTGGCAAAACTGTGGGAAAACAGAAAAGAGTTGTCATATATGGAGACGAATATAGCACCAGGAATGGAAATGGAAACGAAATGGGGAGGAAAAAAAGTAGAAGTCCTTTTGACAAGTTTTAGCAGGGAAGAAAACAATAAATAAGAAAAAGTGTGAAGAGATCGCAAAAGTGTTGGACATCAGACATCCATGTCCTCAATCAGAATCTTTGCTTCCTCGTAACTGTCTTTGGACTGCAACGCTTTTGTGAAGAAAATGATGGCTCCGAAGAACAACATTATCGCTGAAAATAGTACTTGATTAGTTTCAGAATACAGTTTCTAAAAATCCTACCTGGAATGGAAAGGTAGACTTGATCCTTGGCAATCGTGAACACCAGCACTGTCATCACCATGGAAATAATCAGAACGATGGTTCCGACCACAAAGTTTAGGTACATTTGCTTTCGATTCTGAAAAAAAAACAGAAATATATATTTTGTTAACTCTTTTATTTAAGTTTTCATTCGGTCAGGAAATTTAGCCGACCGACAGCAGACCGAGCTGACCGATCAGCAAGCTCGGTCAACTCGGTTAGCTGATGGCCGGCAGGATCGATGGTCAGTCCGCGGTCGCCGATTTTTGACCAACCGCAATGAAAGTCTTAATTTCAACTTACATAAGTTCCAATTGCAATGGATGTGTAGCAGAAAGGGCAGGTGAGAAGGCCATTTGTAGAGTGGAATAGGAACTGTTCCTCGCAATGTGGGCAGATGTATCGGGGACAGGTGACTTCACGAGGGTAGCGGATTTTTGATAGGTTTGGACCTAAAAATCATTGGAAAATTAGTACTAGAGATAATGCACCAAAGGTGAGGAAAACTAGGGCAAATTTTGTCGGTGAATAGCGTCAACAGTCTACTGCTTACACTTTAATAGAAGACCACCATATCCACACACTTTGAGCTCAGTTATCTCGGTTGCTAGGAGAGATATCAAAAAGTGGTCAACTAATAAAATTTTGGTGATATTACGATAAATATTTTGTCAGTTTAGTACTTTTTGGTATCTTTCACAAGAACCGAGATAAAATGGGGCAAAAAATATTCTCAACTAGTTTTAGCATAAGTCAATTTTGAGATCCGAAAAAAGGTAACTATAAATTGTTCGATAAGTCTGGAAATTCCAGAGTGTATTTAACATAAATAGAGCTTCATTTTTATAGTTGACAACTTTTCAGTAGCATTTGAGCCGAAGGAGATATGCCACGTGGAAGAAAGGAAGTGCTCAGCGGTGGCGCGGGGACCCTCTCTTTTTTGAGGGCCCCGCCCTTTTTTTTGAGGAATTTTGAGGACCCTCTTCTTCCACGTGGCATATCTTCTCAGGCTTAAATTTTACAAAAAAAAGGTCAACTACAAAAATGAAGCTCTATTTTCGTTCTGTATATTCTGAACTTTTCAGACTTTTCTTTTTTAGACTAGGCAACGGTAATGGCTAACCTGCTGGATATGGTGGCAATGGCTCAAATGGGAAAGCCTGTCCAGGAGGCCACGAGAAGTTGAAAGTGGGTTTTTCATCGAATTCCTCATGAATAGTCGAGCCACTTGAGGTGGTGCTTGCACTGCTACTGCTGTGCATCTCGCCGCGTAGTTCTGCAAAAAAATGAATGATAGGGAGACTTTTTTTCTTTTTTTTCAAGGAAAAACGGGATTCTGTCGTCGTGAAGTCGTCTGGGACACAAACAGCAAAAGGGGAAAGGTCTCATGGGGAATGAGGAGCATGGGACAGAAAGAACGCCTTTGAAACAAATACACCCAAAAAAAGTGTGTAGTTGGTGTGGTTTTGGAAAAAAATGGAAGATAACAAGAAGAGTGTTGTTTTTTGTTTTATTCCACTCCGTATATCACAAGGTGTTGTCCATTCGGATACAAAACGGATGAAGAGATTGTGTTCTTCTGACTAATGACATGAAAGATTTGATGAGAGAACAAAACCATTTTTTGTTGGACTTTTTTGCTTTTGAAAAAGAAACAAAATCAGTGGATCCTATATGTTCTCTTTCAGCTCAATTATCTCGGTTACTATAAGAGATATCCAAAATCTTTCAACTGATAAAATGTTTGTTATATTATGATAAACAATTTATCAGTTTCTAAATTTCTGATATCGCTCTTAGGAACCGGGATAATTGAGCTCAAAGTTGACGGTTCGGGAGGACGGAGGTCAGGTCTCTAAAACCAGAACTCCTTCAAACTTTGACACTATTTATCTCGGTTCCTATAAAAGACATCAAAAATTGTTCCACTGATAAAATATTCGTAATATTATGATAAGCATTTTATCAGTTAACAGGTTTTTGAAATCTTTTATAGGAACCAAGATATTAAGCTCAAAGTGCACGCAGTACGGATTAGAGTAAGTATTGTTGTTGTTAAGAAAAGGAAATCAGTGAATGGGTCTTTTAAGAAGATTAAACATGTGTTGGACAATTTTCTTTACATGACAGTTAGAATTGAAAATTGTTGATTTTTTCTCAAAAAAAAGGATTATTACTTTTGTGGCCAACAATTTTAAGGTAGGCGGAGCTTAGGTCTGGTGGAGAAATCCTTAAATGAACATGTATTTTTTGTAATTATTTTCTGAAATGTTTTTTTTTAATTTTGGGATGTTCATAAGAAAAAAGCGGTTCAAATGAATGATATTTATCGAAAAATTGAAAAAATAGGCCAGGATATATTCCAACAAAATGCATGCTCCTTTAAGATTTTCGCTACCGGACCTAAGCTCCGCCCCCCCCCCCCTCGAATTTTCGGCAGTAAGATTCAGGCCATAGTAATAAAGATTGTGACAGAATTTTGTTTAAAAAATACAGTAACCTCAAAAAGTCAACAAAGTCATCTCTAACAGTAATCCTACAAAAATGTTATTTCCTTGTTCTCACCTCTCGTTATTTTTAACCCATATGTATGCCAAAAAAGCATCCAGCCACAAAAAAAAAAGCGGCGAAAACAAGAAATTTCAGTATGCGATGGGCGTTAAAATCGGTGCGGTCAGACTGTGGAGTAATCCGCTTAGAAAAACGGCAAAAATGCGAAACAAAAAGACCGAGGCATTCTCTCTCGAGGGTTTCGTTTCATTTAATTTTTCAGAGTTTGTGTAGCTTGTTTAGAATTAAAATGAGTTGGCACAAGTTAAACCTTTTTTTTCAAATTTTATTTTAAAAAAGAGATAACTGATTAGAAGAGGCGCAAAGAAGAAATCGAGGTCAAATAAAGAATTGTTTCGTTTGTGGAACGGGTAATGAGCACACAGAGTGGCGCGTGTGCTCCGCGGAGAGGTTGGTCATTAATGATTCCAATCAGATGGAGTTGTGCCAAAACGGCTCTAGGTAATCAAAAAACCTTTTCGGAATAGAGGAAGCTAATCTCACTAAAAGGATTTGGGCATTTTTCTACAAACGAAGGAATAAAGAGGTTGAAGAAAACGAGTCGGAAGTAAAGAAGACGTAATGGGTGATTACGGTAGTGTGGCACGTGCTCTGGCTAAGGATGGGGTAGAAGATCAAGAACAGCTTACTTTTAAAGTTCAGTGAAGGACCAAAATAAATGCCTTATCCTCAAGTCATTTGGGAGTTTCAGATATTAAAATTTTTGGAGTTCTTGAACTGGAATTTGCAATCTTCGAAGTCTACAAATTCTCGAAATTTCAGAAACTCAAAACTTTAAGATCTCTGGTCCTGTGAATGTTGGAACCTATGAGGTACAATTAAGGTGCCACGGCCGCCCGCGGCATTCCGGGTCTATGCCGAGCTTTCGCCGGACCTACTACAGTTTCCTTTAAAATCGACATTTTTAGACCAATTAAATTATTTATGACGGAACTCTACGAGTACTACAAAATGATAATTTTTGGATTACTGTATCTTGTCTATGAACAAAGTTACAAACCAAAAACCGTCTGAGCTACGCAGTCACAACTTCATGGCCTTGTAACTTGGTTCATAGGCAAGATACAGTAATCCAAATACCTTCATTTTGTAGTGCTCGTCGATTTCTATCATAATTATTTTAGTTAATCCAAAAATTCAGATTCTAAAAGAAACTATGACAGGGCCCGCGAAGCCTCTACCCACCGTCAGAGTCACGGCCGGCCGCGGCCACGATTTGCATAGCCGTAGCTATTTTAATTTCTAAGACCTTCAACTACATTTAGAACATTCGATGTCTGATCATGCCATAAATTACACCTCGTCTAAACCCTGAAAACACAAAAATGACCTCAAAAATGACGTGTTTTGGGGAGAAACACCGATTCCAGGAGCGAAAACGTTTTTGATGAATGGCTTGGCATCTAAATTCCTTCATCTTTTTCTATGCTCAAAAAGTAAAAAGGGAGCTCACAGGGTGCACACACGCTTCTTCTTCTTCTTCTTATTCTTCTTCTTAGATTCATCAAAAGCGCAATCAAAATATATTGTTTGTTTATCTCTATTGCCTCCATTCTATTCTATTCTAAGAAGCAAAAATTCTGGGAGAAGAGAGGGGGTAGAACTGAAACTTGTTGGTTTTTATTCTCTTCTTTTTGGCATTAAAGGAAAGGAGGGAGGCAGAGAAATGGGATCAGAAGGAGGAAACGGTTTGTTGGAGTGTCTTCCGTGATAACATTGATAAGCTGTGATGTTTCTGTTTTGATGAGGGGAAATGGAGATATCACCTCTAAAAAACCGGTAGGGGAAGAAGACGAAGAAGATGGGATAAGAGAAGGAGAAAAAGAAGGCATTTGGGGAGAGAAGATGATGATAAGGAAGGAATGAAATGGGCGGAGCTTTTTGGAAGTTCTGAAATCGTTTCAGACCAAGGCTGTTGGAATTAGAGTACTTCTAGGATAGGTAGGATTTGGTGGTCTAGAAGTTTCTGGATTTCTGAGCTCATTTTCGAAAGAACGGACGGGGGTCCACGGTAACCTACCCACGGCCTGGGCCGCGGCCGGCCAAGGAAGTAAAGTTTAATGTTGAATGCAAAACGTTTATATTATTTTTTGAAAAAAAAAGCGCCAACTTATTCTCTCTCTGTCTTCTCCTGATAACACAAAAAAGACAACATTTGTGTTGCAACAAAAAAAATTAAAACAAACTTTTTCGATCAGAGTGGGCGTTTTTTTTCAAATTTACGACTAGTCAAGTTTCAATTTCAAACCTTATCTCTTTTTCTTCTTCCTCCTCAAACACTATTCTCTAAAAAAATAAATAAACTAGACGGGGGTATGTTTCTAATTATTTTTGAGGTACTGTGTGTGTTACTGTAGGTTTAAGGAACTAGAGAGAGAGGGAAATATTTGTTTTTTGACATGAGATGATGGTGTCGACTGTATGTGATTTGTGTTCGATTGTTATCGGACGGGTAAAACAGAGGGAAAAAGAACTGAAAATGAATAAAATTACTAGTCGCTAAAATTTATTGATGTGCTAAAGTTGCGAAAGTGCACACTCTCATAGAATGCTCTTCCAGCTTTGAGATCATATAGCTCATTTTCTGCGGGAGACAGCAGAAAGTAGTCGATTGACAAAATTTTTATCATGATATCAAATATTTTGTTAGTTGACAACTTTTTGATATCTTTCACAGGGACCGAGATAAATTCATCATTGCATGCATGCATCTATAAAAATTACCGAGAACACGCTAACCTAACCACCGCTAGCTTTGAGCTAATTTTTCTCAGTTCCGGTTAAAGATATAAAAACTTTGTTAACTAATAAAATATTGGTGATTTTATGATAATTATTTTATCAGCTGGTTATGTTTTGATATCTTTTACATTAACCGAGATATAAGGGTTCAAAGTTGGCGGTTGGGGGGCTTTCTATTAGAGTGTCTAGGTTGAATTCCGAGGCTTGCAAATTGTAATTTTGAATCGATAGATTCAGAATTTGTGTTGTGATTTGAAATGTTCCAGAAAATCTTTTTCTCAATTCACAATTCCCAGAATTTTCAGAATCATCATTCCCAAAAATTTACAGAATTTGGATGACCGTAAAACATGTATTATAAGGGCCCCCACATTGTCAAGTTTGAGCTCAATTATCTCAATTCCTATGCAAGATAGCAAAAATGTGTCAACTGGCAAAACATTTCTGATATTATGATAAACAATTTTCAGTTAACAAATCTTTGGTATATTTCACAGGAATCGAGATAATTGAGGTCAAAGTTAAAATTTAGGGGTCCCTTCTATTACAGGTTTTACAGTAATAAACTGTTAAAAATGAGTATCAGGTTCTTAACTTCGCATGTAAACGACAATATTGAACCGGAAACTTCATTCTATACAGTACAAAGTCAAAGCAAAACCCGAAAATTCTTGATTCTTGCGGTTCCTTATCACCTCGAAACGAAAAAACCGCCAAACAACATGTGAAATCGTAAAACTTCAAAAGAAAGAATTCAAAGAATGAAAGCATCCATAAAGTCTCATTGTCTCATATCACAAGGCAACATTCACGAACATGTTTTAAGAAATTGCTATTATCAGTGAGACATACCTTGAAGAGCAGAGACGTCGATCATCGGAGAGACAGTGAGAAGCCAGTGCGAAGCTGGAAATGAAATGGAATTAGGAGAAAAAGGTGATGATGATTC